TGGTAATCTCTATAGTCATTATAATAAAAAGATCCGGAGAAAGATCGTATCAGTGAATTTATTATCTATGAGTTTATTCATTATAGGGACAAGAAAAAAATTTTAGACAATAATTTTGCATCTTTAACATGATGCAAAAAGCTTGACCTCTAAGATACAAGTAGAGAAAGCAGTAAAGATAAGCAAAGGAAACATTTCAAGATTTACAACGTAAAAGTAACTTTTAAGAAACTACTTAGAAGGCAAAAGTGCCACTGCAGAAAATGAAATTTGTGGCATGGAATGCGGACTTGAGATTTCTTCTTAGATTGCAGGGAAAGAAGACAAAGGTATGAAAGTCATTAAAACTAAGAAAACGATAAAGAACAAATATTAGAAGTACAATTTTAAAACTACAGCTATTTCCGAGCGTGGCTGAGCTCCATAAACTTGATACTTCAAACACACACACACACACACACACACACACACAGTCCTTAGTATCAGAGAGAGATCATTGAAAAGAATTTAAATGGAGCTGTGAGGTAAGCAGAATAATGCCACCCACAAAGAAGTCTGCATCCTAAACCTTGGAACCTGTGAATATGGCAAAGGAGAATTAAGGATGGAGATGGAATTAAGATTGCGAACCAGCCAACATTAAAATAGGAAGATTATCCTAGATTATCTGGATGGGCCCAATGAAACCACAAGGGTCCCTAAATGCGGAAGAGGGAAGCCGGAGAGTCAGTGTCAAAGGCAGATGATGTTCCAAAGATTCAGCGGGTCATTGCTAGCTTTGAAGACGGAAATGAGCCTGAAGCCAAGGAATGTGGGCAGCCTCTAAAAGCTGTAAGAGGCAAAAAGCCAGCTGCTTCCTGAGAGCCCCCAAAAGGAAGCAGCACTGTACACATTTTTAGACCAGTGAAACCCATTTTTTACTTCTGACCCCTAGAACAGTAAGATAATATATTTGTTTTGTTTTAAGCCATTACATTTGGGGTAATTTGTTATAGCCCAATAGGAAACGAATACAGCGGGAATAAATTCTACATCGTACACAGGCTGTGTGCCTTTCATATTCAGCCTCTGCTCCTCCTTCTTTTACCCACAAGACTGCCTTTCTGTCACATTCATTTTATTTTTCTTCCTGCATCATTTTTACAAGAAGTATGTGATAAATTTTAAAGTCATTATGATAAAAATTTCCAATACATGCGAAGTGAACAGAACAGTATAAGGAGCCCTCATGTACCTACCACCCAGCTTTCATCATTATCAACACTTTGTCACTCTTGTTCCATCTAATCTCCACCCATTTCAACCCTCCCCACTCAATCAATTTATAGATGCATACAAAATGTACATACATATATCTGAAACTTGGAATGCACAGTTCTTAGCTACACATTATAATAAACAGATACATCCAAGTAATTCAGACCCCTAACATTTCCATCTACCTAAAAAGTTCCCCAATGTTCCTTTCCCACTTCTAACATCCATTTTCCTATAAGTGGAACATCCTTTTTTGATTTCATTTCAGCATGTCTGTTAGACTGATTCATGTTGTTACATGTCCAGTAGTTCTTTCCTGTTTGGTGCTGAGTAGTATTTCCTTGTATAAATTCGTTTATCCATTTTCTTATTGATGCACATTTGGTTTGGTTCCAGGTCTTGGCTACCGTGAGTAAAGCTGCTATGAGCATTTTTATACAAGCCTTTTTGTGCACGACATGTTTTTATTTCTCTTAGATAAATCTGTATGACTGGAATTCCTAGACCAAAGGGGAGGTGTATGTTTAACTTTGTAAGAAACTGCCATTTGGTATTGTCAGTTTTTTTAAAGCTAGCAGTTTTAGTGAAGATAGTGTTATGTCATTGTGGTTTTAATGTGCATTTCCTTGGTGACTAATAACACTGAGCACTGTATGTGTTCTTTGGATAGATATAGATACACACACACACACACACACACACATATCTTCCTTTGTGTAGTGTTTGTTTGAATTTTTAACTGGGTTTTGTCTTAGTCTATTTGGGCTGCTATAACAGAATACCATACATTGGGTAGCTTGTAAGACAGAAATTTCTCACAGTTCTAGAGGCTGGTAAGTCCTAGATCAAGGCACCAGCAACGTCTTGTTCTGGTCAGTGAGAGTCTGCTTTCTGGTTCATAAATGGCTGTCTTTTTTGCTGTAACTTCACAGCGTGGAAAAGTTAGGGAGCTCTATGGGGTCTCTTCTATAAGAGGCTAATCCCGTTCATGAGGGCTCCCCTCACATGATTTAGGCCTTCCAAAGGCCCCTAATTCCAACAAAATGGGCCTTAGTACAAACATTCAAACCATAGCAGGTTGTTTATCTTATTACTGAGTTGTAAGAATTTCTTATATATTCTGGACATGAATACATTGTCAGATAAATATTCTAATAATATCTTCTCCAAATTTGATGTTTGTCTATTAAATTTTCTCAGTGTTGTTATTTCATGAGTAGAAGTATTTTAGTTTGATGTAGTCCAATTTATCAATTCCAATTTTGTGGTATTATGTTCTGTGACCTGAGAAATCCTTGTCTACTCCCAAGTTGCAAAGATAATCTATATTTTCTTCAAGCAGTTTATAGTTTCTATTTTTACACTTAGGGCTATATCCCAGCTTATATAACTTTTGTTTATGATTACTAATTTTTGCATATGATATAAATTTATACTAAATTTTATGTATAGCATGTGAAGGGTATATTTTTTCCCATATAGATACCCAATTGTTCTCACATCATTTATTTAAAAAGACTTCTGTCTTTATTCAATTGCTTTGGTGCTTTTGTCAAAAACCAATTGACTGCACAAACAGAGATCTATTTCTGAACCCTCTAATTTGGTCCCTTGATCTATTTGTTCTTATCCCAGTACTATACTGTCTTGATTATAATATTAAGTCTTAAAGTCAGTTGGTTATAAATACTCTAGTTCTGTTCTTTGTTTTAGACATTCTAAACACTGCATTTCTATATACATTTTTGAATATTTTGTTAATTTCTACAATATATGCCTGCTGGGATTATGTTGGGAATGGGCTGAATATATAGACCAACTTGGTTCTAATGACTTGGCAGCCTACTAAGCAAACCAAAACTTAAGCCTATAAATGCTTTAAGGTTAAGAAAGCAATACTGATGAATTACTGAACTCTACATCTGAAACAAATGATGTACTGTATGTTGGCTAATTGTATTTAAATAAAAAAAAAAAGAAAGAAAGAAAGAAAGGAATACCTAAGGCAACCAATCGCAGTCAACTAGACTTTCCCAAATAAGGCAATCATGTAAGCTATAGCCAAATTTCCTTGCTTTTGCTTCCCTGTCTTCTCCATAAAAGTCTTGTCCCTGGCTCCTGTTGATGGAGCACTCCTAACCAGTTCTGGCTTGGCACTGCTTAATTCAAATCAATTTTTAACCAAATAAACACAATTTTTATTATGCTTCAGTTTATCTTTTAACGATGTTGAGTCCAATCTTTCACTGTTTCATACAATGCAAAAATAAACATCATGCATTTGTCTTTGCACATGTAGGAATGATTCAGGCTAAGTGCCTAGAAGTAGAATTGCAAAAAAAAAGGGCTTTGTGAAATGTAAAGGTAACCCATATATGAGAGGGGTTACCATTATTTGGTTTCTCTTATTTTTTTCTAAAACAACTGGGAGGTAACAGTAACAAAGGAATTTTTGCACAACTCTGCAATCCTGGAAAAAGCTACAGTTTGCACAATATAGCAAGTTCCTATCTGGACCTGCCATTAAAAGTCACCACAATAAATAAAGAAAATCCCCAGAGCCCTGCATTTGGAAAGTTTACTACCAATGGTTGGGTCTAATACTTGGCTTTGTTGTGAATGGATGGATACTGATTTAGGATTCTGATGATTAAGGGCAGAGGAATTGGGGGGGGGTGCCCTTGACGTGAAGAGGGGGGCACAGGGCCCTTTGATTTTGGTCACTAATTGACTTCATTACCTTTCACAGGCCACATCCCAGTTTCCTCATAAAACACAAGAGTGTTAAGGGAAAACAGTATTTAAAGTCATAGAACTGACTCAAATAAGGTAGGGAGAGAATGAAGATAGAGAAGGAAAGGGGCCCAGGATCTCTGAGATTTGGAACCCTCCTACACTGAGAGTTTGGGGAGAGGAAGAACCAGCAAAGGATAATGGGGAGCAGCAGCTCCTGGAAAAAAAGGAGAATGTTATGTCCCAAAAACCCAGAGAAGGAAGCCCACTAAGGAGAGTGCTGAGCACCCAAGATTCTAAGCTGAATGCTGAGGTCCAGGGATTCGGAATTGTTGGAGGCTTTGACAGATGCCATTTCAATAAATTAGTGGGATTAAAAGCCAAATGAAAACCATTTAAAAAGTGAATTAAAAATCAGTTTTGATGCCTTTATAAAGTGCACAAACTTATTCCAAACCCACAGCTGGTCTGATTGATCCGAGCCCTTCTCAGAGGTCACCTTCTGAAGATCCTAAGGCACTTAACCAATCCGTGACTCCTCTTGCTTCCCAAGATTGTTCTGAAAGTGCTTTGTAAACAAGGACACCGAACAAAAGAGTGGGGCAACCACTGGTTTTTATTATTCTATTACACTATTACTGTATTCATTTGATACTACGTAGGCTCCTCCGTGCTCCACCAATACCTAAATTTTCTTAAATCGGTAGCTACCCAGTGAGAATTTATCAATCAGCTTTCCTCGCCCTACACCCTGCCAGTCCCTGTCCCACTCTCACCTCCTCCGCTCTCCAAATCTTTGACCTGGGAAGCTCAAATTTCGTAATTCCAACCCGGAAACAAAGAGGGAGGGAAAGGGTGAGAGGAAGCGGAAAGTGTTTGTTTCCTCTGGAGGCTCTGAGCGTGGACACTACTCCTCCGCGGACCGTTTGTGCTGCCCTCCTAGGAAGGGTGCAGGGTGCTTGTTTTTCCGACGGACGGAGTACGGGTGCCGGGCGGGCTCTCGCGGAAGTCCATGCGCCATTGGGAGGGCCGCAGTGGGTGCTCTGTGCCCTTGTTGCCGAGGGCTTCTTCCTGGGTCATTCCTGGAGCAAGGCCGGACGGGGGCTGACACCCGGGCTCCCGCGTGGCCCTGTCGGCGCGTGTGTGACTTCCTCGCCGGCGGGATGTGGCGACTACGCCGGGCCGCCGTGGCCTGGTAAGTGTGGGCTCCGACCCGGCTCCGTTATTTCTGTGGCCTCCGAGAAACCGAGTTATTTCATCACTACCTCCAGAATGTGCACATAACTGTCAGGCCAGGCGGAGGGTGGTTGGAGGATTCCGGGATATTTTTGAGGACCGGTAGTAACAGGAGCCCTGACCGGGATTACCTGCGGTGCCGGCTGCAGTCCTGGCCCTTGTTCCTGTTCCTTTGCCATTCGAAGATTCTGGGCTCCTTTCAGTCTTGGCCTGTCTCTATTGTCCCTTTGTCCCTGCCCCTTTCACCTTTCTGCCCTTGCCGTTATCGCTGTCTCTGGTTGCTTCTTGTTTCCGCCCTCTACCTCCCCGGCTCTATTCATGTGTCACCCTCTCCGCCTCTCTCTCAACTCTTTTTCTTCTACCTCCATGCCAGGTGTACATTGCTCTTGCGGGTACGCGTTCTTCTCCCAGAGTGAAGAGGACTCTGCCTCTTGTCCTAATCCGCTGAGTAGACTTGCTTTGGAGTCAGTTCTGGGCAGTGACGCAAATGGTGTCAGAGATGATTAGAGATGCCCTCTTAATAGCAGCTTTTCAGTGTTTAGGCAGGGGAAGGCTCGCTTTGGATGCAAAGTGGTGAAGATAGCACCAACTTTCTAATCACACTGTTATTGCTGCCCTGGCCTGGTTTAAGCCCAAGTAAAAAAATCTTAGAATCTTTTCATTTCTGTGGGTCACTATATACATTTTAATAAGATTTAAATTTGACTTTATCTTTACACGTATTTGTGTTCTAATATCCTTAGATACTTTCAGGCTTAACTCATTGTTGCAGGCTGTTGATAAGAAGTAATATGCATCAAATAAGGTTAGAAAAACTTGGTTTTCCTGAGTTAGCCTCTAAACACCTGTCTTGAATTTTTTTCATAACGTTGTTTAAAGGGTGTAGGTAATTTCTAGTTTTTATAAGGAATGGAATCCATTTTTGTGAAGGTTGAATCTAAATTTAGAACTGGATGATATACAATAGTTATAGTCAATTAGAATAATTGAATAGTTATTTCTGATTTTATGGATTTTGAGTTTCTGAGTAAATCCACAGCCCTTGATACTGCAGTAAATTATTTACTACCTTTTTATTTCTACTCTTCACTGTTTCCTGGAGAAACATTTCTAATTTTATTTAAATAAAAAGGGAGGGGCGGCTGGGTGGCTCAGATGGTTAAGCGTCTGCCTTCGGCTCAGGTCATGATCCCAGGGTCCTGGGATCGAGTCCCGCATCGGGCTCCCTGCTCCTTGGGAGCCTGCTTCTCCCTCTGTCTCTCTCTCTCTCTCTCTCTCTGTCTCTCATGAATAAATAAATAAAATCTTTAAAAAAAAAAAAAAGGGAAAAGACTTTGCAGAAAATAGCATACTTCATTGGAACAATTGAGATATGTAGGAAAACTTTAAAATTTGAGCTTAACAACAGACTGATTAATAACTGGTATTTGTTTATTCAGGTGGATGCTATTGCGCTAAATTGTTTAAGTTACTATGGACTCCATAGAGTCATGGCTTAAAAGTGTTTATGTTGATAGCACAGTTTAGCTCCCCTGCAGAAGTAGAGATGTGGAAGGTCAGAAGCCTCAAGCTCTGGAATTTGTCTTTTGCTGTATTTCTTTTGCATGTTTGTTATGAAGGAGAACATTTAAATTCCCATTCTTAAACAGATGGGAACATAAACATTTTTTGATATATCTAATTACATATGGTAATATAAGAAGATCAGTGACCAGCATTTATTTAGGTGCAATAAATGTTTGTGTAAATTTGTTGAAAAAAGAATTTGTATTAGGAGATGATACACAGGTTAAAAGAGATGATAGATGAGAGAGAATACATGATTTTGGGAGTCATGGGGGGGGTTGTTTTGCATCACATTGATTTTTAGTTTGGCCAAATATAGAAATCTATATTCAAAATACTTTTCCTTCAGAACGGTAAAGGCATTTCTACATTTTTTTCTAGCATTCTTTGTTACTAATACAGACTCTTGGGACAATCTGATTTTTGGGTATTTGTAAGTATCCTGTTTTTCCCTTCACGGAAGCTTTCAGGATCTTGGCCTTATCTTTAATTTCTCAAGGCTTTGTCCTTGACAAAGGTATGGGTCCCCCCCCCTTCAACCTCCACCCCAAATCTGGCTTGGTACTAGTGGGCCTTTCTGTTAAGAAGATTCTTTCTTCAGTTCTGGGAAGTTTTTCTTCTTTCTTTATTTTCTTCCTTTCATTTTTCCTCTTTGTTTTTAGCCTCCTGTTAGGTGAATTGGTCTTCTTAGATTGATCCTGTATGTCCATGATTTGCAAAATACAATCTGTGCTTATCATATGTTAAAAAAAAAATAGTAGGCATATGCTACAATATGTATATATACACTTATTTTTAAATTATATATATCTCTGTATTAATTATATACATTATAATTCTACCCTAACATAATCTTGAAGGATGAGATACAAAAAAATACTGTATCTAGAAGCTTTGGTACTTTCTTCCTGAATCCCAGTGAGTCATTTTGTGTATCCTATGGAACGCATTCCACACACATCCCCACTTTGGATACCACTTCTCTGAGTCACTTAACTTTTTTCTACTGATTTCCACCATTTTTCTTTATGTTCTAAGTTCCCAAGAATTTCCTTAATACATTTTCTGGTGTTGCTATTCATCTTTTTTTATTGGCTATTTCAGCTTTAATTTCCATGAATTCCTTTCAAACATTTGTTAAGCTCTTAAAGACATGTTTAATTCAGTAAACTTTGTAGTAGCATCTTAGCAACAGGACTACTTGGGTCTGGGGTTTATCTATTTGGATATATATTTGGATTAACTCCTTTCTTGAAAAACAACTTCTGAGGGATAGAGGGCTACTCATTGATACATTAGTAGAGGTTAGTGCAGTTAATGTTGAAATGACATTTATTGAGCACTTACTCTATGGTCATTGCTAGGTTCTTTCACCTTTTGTTTTGTTTTGTTTTTGCTATTCTCCCAATAACATATGTTCATTCACCAAATTTATTAAGCATCTACTACTTGGTGAAGCACTGGGCCAGGCTTTAGAAATACAATGACAAGCAAAACAGGACTGCCCTGGCCTTATGAAGATTGCAGTTTACTGGTAGAGATAAATATTAATCCAATAATTACAATATTATGTAATACCAATTTTATGTGCACTGAAGAAAAAGTACAGGGAGCTAAGAACTGTAGCAAGGGACTCGAATTAGAATATAGGTTCCAGGAGAGGAGGGAATGCTGAAGTGAAACCATTTGTGACCAGAGTTAACAGGAGTAACGGGAGTTAAGTAGGTAGAAGAGTTTGTCCAAGCACAGTTGGTATCAAGGCCCTGAGGTGGGAGGGAGTATGGCACAAAGAGCTAGATGAAAACTGGTCTGGGTGAAGCTGGGAGGTGAGAGGGAGAGAGGCAGGACCAGACCATGGAGGGCTTTATAGACCAGGAGTTTGGATTTTATTCTGAATGTAGGAGGAGACATTGAGGAGATTTATGCAGGTGAGTGACAGTGATCAGATTTACATTTCAGAAGAGTGCTCTGCCTGTGCTGTGGAGAACGCCTCAGTCGAGACTGTTATAGCAGCCCAGGTAAGGAATGGTGGTAGTGGAGATGGGACAGATGGAGGATTCGAGATCTGTGTTGGAAGTAGAACTTGAGGATGAGGAAGGTATCAAGATTGAACCCCAAGTTTGTGGCTTGTGAAACTGGACAGGTGTTTGTGCCATTTCCTGAGATAGGAAGTACTTGGGGGGGGTCAGGGTTTGGGGGGAGGGAGGAAGGATATCATGGATTTGGACATTTGAGGTACTTTCTGATATTTAAGGGGTGATGTTCAGTAGGCATTTGGACACAAGGATCTGGAACTTAGCTATTTGTATTAGACATGCAAGTTTTGAGAAACATGAGTATGTATGTGGTAATTGAGGAAATGGGTATAGATAAGATTGCCTAGGAAGAGTGAATAGAATGAGAAGAGAAGTGACTTTATATCTAAGTCCCATGAACTCCCAACATTTAAAAGGTAGTTGGGGAGGGGCACCTGGGTGGTTCAGTTGATAGAACATCTGATTCTTGATTTCCGCTGGGGTGGTGATCTCTGGGTCCTAGGATCAAGCCCATGTTGGGCTTCGCACTTACCGGGGAGTCTGCTTGGGATTCTCTCTCCGCCCCACCCCCCACCCCGCTCACAAGCTCTCTGTCTGTCTCTCTCTAAAATAAATAAGAAAGGGGGGGGGATAGTTGGGGGGGCGCCTGAAAAAGAGTGGCCAGTGAGTAGGAGTAAAGCTAGCGACTGTCCATGTAAAGGGAGTTCCAGCAAGGAGGGGGTCAACACTCTCAGATACTGGTGAGAGAGAAAATGAGAATTGAAAAAATAAATACCCATTGGAAGGCATCAGGACACTCAGTAAGGGCTGTTTCAGTGAAGTGATACAAATGGAAATCAGGTTGGTTTGGCTTTTAATAGAATAGCTAGAGCAGGGAACCAGCGTCTGTTTTTTCTCTCTTCTTTAAATTGAGAGAGACTTGACTAGTGATTCCTGAAAAGGCAGGAAGAATTCCGAGGAAACAGAGGGATTTGCCTTTGAAGGGAAGAGGAATACTTACTGTAATCTCACAGAGCTCAGGGCTCAGGACCCAAGGGGACAGGGAGCTAGAGGAGGGTGGGTGTAGATGCAGTAGGAAGTAACAGCATGTCTCCTTCTGATGGCTTCCATTTTCTCCAGAAAATTGCAGGAAGTATAGGGAGAATGTGGGAGGGTAGAGGAGGGTGGAGAACATCTGAAATAGTCCTAGCAGAGAGTGGAAGAATGTATTGATGAACAAAGTAAGATTGTCAGGCATTCCTGTCCTGGGGGCCAAGGTGAGATGTCTGTCCAGTAGATGCAGTTTTCTTCAGTAGTGCTTCATTCCCTTGGTACAGGCTTAACATGATAATAAGGTTCATTTAGGGTTTGTATTTTGCCAGACAAGTGTAACAAAAAACCAGAGGGCATCTGCGTTTAGATTATTTGCAAAAGAGTCATTGAAACTATGAACTATTTATTATAAGGTGGCTAAGTAGGTAAATAGATAAGGTGGAGACTAATAGGTTAAGAAGATAGAAGGATCCATGACTTGGTTGTTCCAGTAGGATCAAAGATGGTTGTATCGAAGGGGATTATGGTCTGAGAAGAAGATACTTGAATCAGTGATTATTGGCAATAACTGATGTAGCTATCATCCCATTTTAACAGATTTTAAAAAACTGAGGCTTTGGTAAGTTCATAATTTGCCCTTGATTGCACAGAGGTAAGCAGTGAAACTATAAATGGAACCAAAGTTTATCTGGCTCAAAACACTAAGTTGCTGTAAGGATAGAGCTGAAAGAAGTTTGAGCTAAATGTTATGGAACCATGGGCTATTCCCCCCAGTTGGTTTGGCTCTTGATTTTTTTTTTTAATCTGTAAGTGGTAACGTTAGTCTTCCAGCGAAAACATCAGGACTACTATTTACTCTTTTCCCTTGTCTCCCGTGTCTAGTCTGTCATTCTGGTATCTACCATTCCCTTCCTTTTTCAGTGCTGCCACCTCAACTCACTCTAGTGTGTTCTCTTATATCTGCACAACTGATATACAATCACCTTATCACTCCCCAAATTACCAAAAGATGGGTGGTTTTAACAGTAGACATTTATTTCTCACAGTTCTTGGAGGCTGAGAACTCCAAAATCAAGGTGCCAGCATATTTGGTGTATGGTGAGGACTCGCTTCCTGGTTCATAGACGGGCCTCTTCCTTCTGTGTCCTCACGTGACAGAGAGGGAGAGATCGATCTGTACTCTTCATCTCCTTATAAGGGCAACAATCCCAACACAGGGCTCCACGTCCATGTCCACATACAAAGCAAGTTACCTCCCAAAGGCCTCACCTCCAAATACTTCATGTTGAGAATTAGGCTTCCATATATAAATTGGGGGAGGACACAAATATTCAGATTGTTGCAGATTGCCTTTAGTATCTTCTTTTATTTCTCTTTAATTAATCTTACTCTATTCAGAAACGTTCAGTCAGGTATCTTATATACAGTTAATGATTTTTCCTTAATTTCTATCCCTGGGCTATCTCAGGATTCTGAGACCTAGAGGAGAGGGCAAAGAATAGCTCTTCTAAGCTGTTGGAATTTTTGTGCTTAAAAGCAGGTTTGCATTCATTTTGTTTCCAATTTTACTGACAGCGAATAGCGGTTAATAAAATAAGTAAATGAGAGGGCAGGCTCTGGAGTCCCACTGCCTGGGTTTGAATCCTATCTGTGTGGACTTGGGCAAGTTATTTGTGTATGTGTGCCACCTTTTCCTCATTGGTAGAATGGAGGTAATACTAGTATTTTCACCATAGGATTTTTAGCAGGATTAAAGGAGGTAGCACCTGCTGCAACAGTGCCTGGCATGTAGTAAATGGTTAGTAAATGTGAGGTGCGGTCTGACATAATGTGGTTGGTCACATGCCCGCCTGTGTGTTTTCTCTTGGGTATATTGCTCTTTTTATATCATTTCCTTTGCATTATTACCCAGTCTGATCTTTGTCCCATGCTCTTTTTTTTTTTTAGTGAGGTCTGCCAATACTTAGTGAAACATAGCTCTGGAATCAAAGGAAGCTTACCACTACAAAAACTGCATCTGGTTTCAAGAAGTATTTATCATTCACACCATCCTACCTTAAAGCTTCAAAGACCCCAATTCAGGACATCATTTCATCAGTTCTCCTCTTTAACTAACCTTCCCTTATGTAAATTGAAACTTTCTCCAATTAAATATGGCTACCAGCCACGCAGGAATTTTTGGCCAGCGAGATTAGCTGCAAGACTCTTAAAACTTCGATATCTCATACTAGGATCTGCTGTTGGGGGTGGCTATACAGCCAAAAAGGTGAGTCTAATTTCCACTGCTTTTTCAATTATTTTAGCATGATTATTTGAAGGTTTTATAGCACAAACCATTTTTCTTTAGTGCAATAGAATAGAATTAGGTATTTAAAAATGTGTTGTGTATCTCTACCATGTGCTAAATTGTTTTAACGGTGCTAATAGAAAAATGCTCTTTGAATCTTGGTTATACTTAAAGGAGATGAGAATGGCCTAGTGGAAGGGAGCACTGGGCTGGGGTGCGGTCACCTAGGTTTGATTTTCAGCTTGCCACTTAGTAGCTCAGACAGGAAAGTAGGTGGCATGCTAACACAACCACTTTTTGGCAGCTTTGGGAGTAGAGGCAACACCGCTGGTTTGTCTTCTGTTCCACAGTATTGTTTAAAACCAGGTCATGAAACCTGTTTGAAATAAGACTGTTTTGAATTTTTACATTTTCCATATTTTGTAAAGGAACATTTACATATTTTATATGCTTGCCAGCTGATTTGTTTTTAGAAGAGCCGAGGCTACTTTGTTTCTGAAATATTTTAACATAATACATCGTTCGTAGTAGATTAGCATGTTTTAATTAGATAAATTAAGGTAGTTTTTCTTTATTTTTGTATGACGTTCAGAGCATTTGATTGGCATACTTTCTTTTCTTTTAGACTTTTGATCAGTGGAAAGATATGATACCTGACCTTAGTGACTATAAATGGATTGTGCCTGACATTGTGTGGGAGATTGATGAGTATATCGATTTAGGTTTGTATCATCAACATTAAAACACGCTTCTTGGTAGTATCTTTGGCAAAGAGAAATAGTGATATTGAGATAGTTTCTTCACTCATGAGCTTACTGTGTAGCAGTTTTATTTGAATGATAAAAGTAATAGAATATCAAAGAAAAAATTGGTAGGAAAAATAATGCCCTCGCCCATCACTCTCACATAGCCACCACTGTCTTTCCTTAAGGACATTTTCTTTTAATTGTAGCTAGTCTGTGTGTATGGCTAATATTTTAGAGCCAAAGTCTACGTACACTTTGGTTTCTTATCTTTTGCTAACTAATTTGTCAGCTAAGCAGCCTTCCTAGACATCACTTTCAGTGTTGTGTATTGTTACCCAGAACAGATGCACCGTGACCCACCTAACTAGTTGATTTTGACTAGATCCCTTGGTTACCTCTACTTTTTGTAACCAGGTCCCTAAAAGCCTGCTAATGTCCGTAGTAATTTCTCCCCATAGTCAGCCACTGTTCCCCTTTCTCTATAACAGGTAGATGAGAAAAAAGTATATTTGATAGTTCTGATTGCCAAGATTAAGTTATGGTAATTTTATTTTCCTCAGTCTCTTTTTTTTAGACTTTGTCTAATTTCTTAGCCTAGGTGTATATGGGGGTGGAATTAATCTATGTGCTTATTCACACAACATTTTCTTAAAGATAAAACCATGCTGCATTGACAGAGGAACCTGCAGGAATTTGAAGCACTCTTTCAGTATTTTTCTAATATTCATGTGGAGAGCTTTGGACTTTATTTGCCAGTACCACAATGTGGGGCTGAGGGTCTGGATTCTGAAGCTAGCCTGAGGCCTGACTCCCCACTTCTCTGTTGTGTGCGCAGGTCCAGCTACTTAACCTCATTGCCTCAGTTCCTCACCTGTAAAGTGTGGTTGATGATAATTTTGTAGGGTTGCTATGAAGATTGAACAGGTGAATGCTTTTATAGCACTAGAACAATATCTGACATATATTCTTATTTTGAGAATATTTATGTGTTTTGGTCTTCTGCAGAGAAAATTAAGAAAAGCCCATCCTAAATCAGAAGATACTATAAAGTTGTACCAAACCTCGACAAAATTGTTGAGTGTTTGTAAACAAAAATACTCTGACCATTTTATAAATAAAGCTAGCAAAAATAAAACCAAAGCTCGCCTTGGGCTCTTAGACAGTTATTTCCAAATAGTAACAAGTGTGAATTTTCTGAAGGTCTGTGAAAGGACAGAGAAAAGTAATGGAATTCTGTTTCTGAACTTGAACTGAGATTTCATTACTTTTTTTGAGTTTGGACCAGGTGTTATAGGAGGCGTTTTCTCTTTTTCCTTTGATTCTTAGCCTCTTTGCTGTGACTTTCTCCTTAAAAGTATTTCTGATTCCAGTACAGTGTTAACATTGTTAATATAGTGCTTCTGTTTCAAGTCATTTAACTTACAGAGCAAAGCTGTCCATGTAAGCCAGACATTTGGTGAGTCTTTTTAAACAAATTTCATGGCTTGTGGAATATCCTCAGAATTACACATTGTTTCAGATACATGTAGCAGTTGTGGTTGTAGTAGGGAGAAAAATGGAAAAATATTTTAATTTAAATTTATATATATTTATATATGACATTATTTAAATTTTATCAATGTTTTAATAGTGAAATTCTTATTTTGAGAAATTTTTTTCATCTTCTCCAGAAAAAATTAGAAAAGCACTTCCTAATTCAGAGGACCTTGCAAAATTGGCACCTGACTTTGATAAGATTGTCGAAAGCCTCAGCTTATTGAAGGACTTTTTCACCACAGGTAAGGAAGGATCTATTTGATCTCACTTAAAATGTCAGAAACCGCAGAGGAAAAATACTGAGATGTATTCATTTGTTGATTCTATCTTTAAATGAAAACATTTAGTACAAATGAAAAACAGGTTTTTGAAAAAAAGACGCACAAAGTTTTGGTGCTCAGTGGTTTTAAATTTTGGTTAATGCAACAAAATGAAAATTTGTAAGAGCTTAAACATGCTTGGCTTTAGTCAATGAGGGGAAAAAAAAAGCTCTTGTTCCTGACAAGTAGATGAGACTTCCTATGTGCTTGCTTTTCATAATTGGTTAGAACCAATTTGGTGATTTTAAAACAAACTTAATTATGATGTACCATAATGAGTAGAATTTACTGAGGTTAATCCTGGTGTATTTGCCCAATTCATGCCCTATCATGATATAACTCCGATCTCAGACATATTTGTTTGCTCATTCCTGTCAAATTTTACATTTCTATTTCCCCTTTTGCTGGTTTTTCACAGGTCACAAATTGGTTAGTGAAGTCATAGGAGCTTCTGACCTACTTCTCTTGTTAGGTGTGTAAACAGACATTTTTGCTGACCTTAACATGCCTTTTAAATGCTTTTAATAAACTAGTTGCAAATAAAATGTCAGACCAAATTTACACTGCTTATGCTGAATTTTAAAACTCCAGAACTATATTGGGCAAATTCTTTATCTTATAGGTGAAATAATAAAATAATTATTTTGCAGTAAAACTAAAATTCCTAAATATGTATCTATAAGATTAAAACTATTAGAAAGTTTGCTTAACCAAAATATTTTCTTGAACTTGATATGATTGTTTCTGATAATTGAAATGAAAAGTAATTTTAGTTTGTCTCATCTGTCCTGTCACAGTTGACATTTTAAATTTATTTTGTTACTATCTGTGGTCTGTAATGGCAGTGGTAAATGGCTGAACTGTAAGTACTTTCATGGAAAATAATCCTTATCAAAGATTGTCTTTTTTTAATTGTGATTTTCAGTGAAATTTTAAACATGTCTTATAATATTTAAAAAGGTTTTTTTTTTTTGACGTAGGTTACCAGTATGTTCCTTAAAATAAGAATAGCTTTTAATTTTCAAAAAAGTGATTTTTGCTTTAAAAATCTATTTGCCTTTAAAATAAGTTGGAATTTGGGCTATTGACAGCAATGGAGAATTTAAAGGACTGCATATTTATCTTTAAGGTTCACCTGGAGAAACAGCATTTAGAGCAACAGATCATGGATCTGAAGGTGACAAGCATTATAGAAAGGTAAGTATAAAGGAGAATTCTTCACATAGGTAGTCTTGAAAGAGATAAAATAGTTTTTACCCACCTAGAAGACTTGAAAACAGTAGCATCTGAGGAGCAACTATAAAAGCATCTAAGTAGAGGTGTTTTTAGTCTTGGTACAAAGTGGAGGTACTATGTGACAGTTCTAGAAATATTGGAGAAGCCCATTTCTTTCAAATATGCTGTATGAAATATTAGTTATACAAGGATTGTTTTCAACAAAGTGCTTTATTGTTAAATACGTATAGGAAAAGCTGAGTAAGTAAAATAAACAGGCTTTTCTTTTTCCTAGGACTTCTCAGACGTTAATATACTTGTGTGCATTGTGAATCCCAGGAGAAGTCAAAGTATACAGAGTTGTCTAGATTTATTTAGCAACAGAACCCTTTTTCCATGAAATATATTCTAGGGACTAATGTTTCATGGCATATACTTAGTGGAAATATTAAGAGAATAGGAAATGGGTTATTAGGGGATAGATTGATTCTGTTACATTAATAGTCAACAATTGTGTATGAAGTTATTTTGGTTATGTCAATTTCAATACTTGTGTTAAAATCCATAGGAAAGTTTTGGTAGAATTGCTGATGTAAAGTAACATATGCATTGCTCTTTATTTATATTCATATGTTAACCTGATATTCTCTTAGTCTTCATTTTTTTCCTCTTTTGGAATTGGTAAGATAACTGATTCCTTGGAATTTTTTCTGAAATAATATTTAGATAAATAGATACCTGAAAAAATAATGAACATTTTAAAATTAAATTTGGAGTATGTAACTTTTATACTGAAGGTTATTATGGTTTTTATAAATTGAAGGGAAATTTATGTTTATTTGGAAAGCAGAAAGAAAATAATTCCGATGCATAAGTTTCCATCGCTGTCCTTGTCCTTTAACTTTGAACTTTTTGCATGATATTCCAGGTTTAAATTGTAGTATTTCAAAGACTTTTCTCTTGCCTTTTAACTAGATCTTTTAGAGAAAACATTTTAAAATGTGTGTGCATATCTGTGTATGTGTACAAGTGTATTTGCCTTTTAACTTGATCTTGTTTGATACCTTTTCCATTGGCATTTTAACAAAAGGAACACCCTTGACTATTCATGCTACTGGGAAGAAAAATTTGAATAGCCATTAGCCTATTATGCAAAGCTTATTTTGAGCCAAGGCCTTGGCCTTTAATGCAGGTAGACTTAATGTGTAGAGAAGAGCTAATCTAATGAGGGAGAAGGAACCTCTCTTATAGGATTAATAGTGTGGTTTTCCAGTGAGGAGGCCTTGTTGCCTAGATCAGTTAGGGGAGGTCGGCATCTTTGCTATTCTCTGTTATGGCCAAGGATTGCTTTGGTGAATGAAAAAACTTGTTTCAGGGTCTAGATCAGATAATCTCCTTAAAATCCTGTTAAGATGCTTAATGAATAATTGGTAAGTGATCAGGAGCTTTGCAGTACAGAAGAAGCAAGAGAATGGATCCCTGGAAATATCATTATAGTCTCAGATGTTTTTTACACAGTAGACATAAAAGTAAATTTACTGCTTTATTTTATAATTTACTTTGCTTAAAGGTAAATGTCCTCATCTACTGTTTCCTTTTAACTTTTTCATAATTTATGGTGATTATCTTTCCCATTAAAAGCTCAACAATTAATATTACTGAGTCTAGAGTTGTAATTAAGGTGCTTTCATTACAGTTTAAATTAAATTGTAGCAAATGCTAGTATAAGAATTTACTATACAGGAAAAGTATTTCCAGCCTCAACTAGTGGTTTTAAATTTTGTTAATATGCAACATTATGTGTTTCAAGGCTTGACTCTTACCTATGATACTCTTGCCTCTGAGAGCCCCAGATAGAAAATGGTATTCAGAGTTTGAAGCAGTCATGCCTTAGCTTAATGGTTGTCTGGGTTGTACCAAAATTTCTGGCCAGACTTAAACTAGAAATGTAAAAGTAAATGTGAATCCAATTTTTTAAATTTTTTTTTTAAGATTTTATTTATTTATTTGACAGAGAGAGAGAGACAGCAAGAGCAGGAACACAAGCAGGAGGAGTGGGAGAGGGAGAAGCAGGACCCCGCCGAGCAGGGAGCCCAACATGGGCTCCATCCCAGGACCCTGGGATCATGACCTGAGCCGAAGGCAGACACTTAACAACTAAGCCACCCAGGCACCCCCCAATTTTTTTTTAAGTAGTAATAAAAACATTTCTACAGCTAGAACTAGAAAAGAGATTTGTCCTTTCTAATAGAAGAACACAGGGGCACCTAGGTGGCTCAGTCTATTGAGTGTCTTGACTCTTGGTTTCAGCTGGGGTTGTGGTCTCCCCATCAGGATGGGGCCCTGTGTTGGACTCCCCGGCTTCCCCTCTGCCCTTCCCCCTACTCATGTGCTTGCACTCTCTCTCTCTCTCCCTCCCTCCCTCTAAAATAAATAAGTAAATTAAAAAAACAGGAACACATCTGGAGAAATGCTGGCAGGCAGAGGAATAGTTAGGACCTTTCAAAATCAACTGAAGTGAAAATGACAGAGTTGAGAAAATACAGATGTCAGATTGTTTGACTTGAGTCAGACAAAATGAATAACACAATGAACTGATTACCTATGGCTCCCAGTCTGGGGTCACTAGACTTTTAGGTACTCTGGAAAGTTGTAAATGAGGTCTACCAAAAGTCTACAAAAAGGGAAAAGCATATATTTCTGCATGATGCTGCACAGGCTAACTAAACATCAAGTTCCTTTGACTTTGCCTGGATTTATATCCATTCAGTTTATGGACAGTCATTTACATCATGTTGACCAGAAGTTCTGATACATATTACCAAATTTAAAAAATGGAAAAATATCAAAACCACTTTTCAATAAATGCTGTTAATCAGAAATTTTAAAATTTATATCCACTGAAGAAAAATATTAGAGCCCTTGATGTCAACTGAATAATATCCTTAAGACCTGGAGACCTTCAGAACCACCTGGAGGCAAATTGAGAACTGAAGTGATGAGCCTATTTAAGTGAATAATTTGCAAATCTGCAGATTTCTTTATATCAGTCATAACATAGATAGGTGACAAGACCACTTAGTGAATCTCCTTTTTTAGATTCAGTAAGATTGTCTGTTGTAGTGAAAACTAACTTGCTAAATGAGACATGTTATTATCTGTACTTTTGTTTTATCATGTTTCTGATTGGTCATAAACATTTCACAGAAGTAAGCAGTGTGGTCATTCTGAAGGTTACAAGCACATTTATAATTTATAGAAAATATTTGAAGGACCTTTTAAAAGTCTAAATCATGAAGAGTGGTATTACTATTTTAAGTGTAATTATTAGATGGTAATTAATGTTCTTCCTTTTCATATGTTACTCTAATTCTTATTTTTGTGGCTTTACTTCTCTTGTACCTCCCAGCTGAAATCTCTCTTCCCTTTTCTGCCAAATTTTTTCTCATCCTTAAAGCCTCGCTCTGTTGTCCTCTTCATGAAACCTTCCATAACTATTTTAGCTCCATTAACACTGAAAACAGTTGCCAGCTGAAACATTATTTACTTTGGCTTGCATTCTTTCTATCATAAAATCTCGGTCCTCAGAACACCTGGGATAATACTGAGCTTTTAGCAAAATGGAGTGATTGATTTAACACAGTAAAAGAGATGCTAATTGAAGTAAATAAGTTTCATTAATGCCAACAAGTAGGCCACAAAATCTTGTATAATATGTCTTCACTCTGATCACATGTGAATTTCTCTTGGCCTTTGATATTCGGCATCTCCTGAGGAGCATAAGAATGTGAAAGTAGTACCTGTGCTTGGTAACTAAAATGAAGCAGCATTGCTTAAGTAGGATTTATGTTTCTGGGATTCCTCAGGCAACAAATAATGGAGTAACTGTGTAAAATGAAATTCCCACAACCAACATCATCAAGCAACCACAGATCAGTAAACTTAAGTTTCCTGAGCAGCTAACTGGCAAACAAGGTTAGAATCTTAGCTAGGAAGCCAACCCACTTGTGCACCGAAGTGTAGTAGTTGGGAAGCAGAGGAATCAGCGGAAGAAAAGGAGGGAAGAACTGCATGAAGAAAAATGGAATGGCAAAACAGGCCATCCTATTTTATTCCTTCATAAGCACACTGTCCTTTTATGTCATTTAAGAAACATTAAATGTACATACTGTGTACATAATACTGTTTTTTGGTAACAATTTAGAACAAAGGGGATTTGGTAGGAATTGTAATACTGATAATAACTATCCATAATAGACTGATTTACTTATCTCTTAAAATTATCAGTTGTAGAAATTGTCCAAGTAGTAAAATAGGAAATTATATTTCTGAGTAGAAGCAGGTTAAATAATCCAAATGGAAAGATATATTTCCTTCTGATATCCATTAATAAATATTTTTCCATTGACCATAAATACCTTGAGCAGAGCTATGTATTACTGGGAGGGGGGAAAATAGTTATTTTTAGCTAATCAAATAGAATTATTCAAATTTTGAAAAGTAGTTTAATTCATACCAGTATTTTTTGAATGGAAGTGAAAAGTCTTCTCATTCATAAAGTTCTTTTCTGGACCCAGGTTACTTTTTTAAAAAGTAATAAAGCAGGGGTTGGCACACTTTTCGTTAAAGGGCTAGGTAGTGAATATTTTAGGTTTGTAGGTCCTAAGTTGTCTGTGGACTACTCAACCAGCCCATCCTTTTAGTAATTCAAATATGCCTTCTGATGTATTGTAGTATTACCATTTTCTTCTTTTAAATGTGGATTAAACCTCCTGGAGTCAGGGCCGCTTTGTAAATATACCATTGTGCCGATAGGACTGCATCAGATAGAGACTTCATAGTCACACTGCCTGCATTCAGATCCTGTCCTTCCTGCTTTCTGAGCTATGGGATCTTGGTTGGACAAGCTCAAACTCTTGAGTTGCTGGTTTCCTCTTCTGTAAAAGGGGGAACCCCTGCTTGATAGGGTTGTTTTATGTATAGCCCTTTAGCACAAGATCTGCACATAATAAAACTAAACAAATATTGGCTATTAGGGTGATGATGATGACAATGATTATTATTACCTTACATTTTTAATTACTGTATGAGTTAATTGCCTATTAACATTATTTGATGAATTTCCTCCCCTTAATTTCTGTGGAGTCTGTTCTGGAGATTATGAAAAATGGGAAAATAGATTATAGGGCTGTTGTATAGCTTATTTACAGAATACACATTTTTTTGGAAACCCAATTTGAATTTTATACTAGAAACGTCATGTGCATTATTAGGTAAAAGTAGGTCATAATTTGATCATTGAAGGAACAAACATGTGCCAGGTTGTTCTTTAGGTGTCAGCTGTAACACATCTCAAGTGTCAGGTCTTATTCTAGATGGTAGGTATACAAACAAACAGGATAAAGGCCTAGTTCTGCTATGATTTTTTAAAATGCTGTTATAAATACAGTATTTTAAATGTATTCATATATGAATGACTTATAATTTTAAGATTATTTAGAATCTTTCCTATCAAGGGAAAGACTTTAAGGTTTTTGCAGCATTTTTGGCTGATATTTTGGTTTCTAGAGTTATCGCAGATTTTCTTGATCTAATGTTAGAATTTTTTAAAAATCTGGCAATACTGTAGAAATACGAGACTGAGAGTTGCAGGGTCAAATTGACAGTAACTAGGAGATGTTTAGAGAGTATATCATTTGTAGTTGTTTACAATAACTATTGTTATTTACAACAATTATGTTTATATATAATGTATACGATTTTAACATAATTACGTGCTGTTTTTTGAGGGAAAAATGTCTGAGCTTGGGAAAATATTTATTGAACAAAATGTATTTTGTCCATTTAAGGAATGTGTCTTGCCCAGTAGTCACATTTCTTTCCCTTCCTTATTCCATGTGGCCTTATTAGCTCAGAAGCTGTATTTAGGGTGAGATTTGATATCCAAAATTAGATAAAGGTAATCTCCTTTAGTCATGTAGCATAGTGTAAATACTTTTTTCTGTATCTAATTCTTGTTTTCTTCCTACTTTTTTCAGGAGGTAACAGTTAGTTTCAACTATCTTCACGTAACAGTGCTTCAGTTAACAACATGGAAGGAAAGTGAGGTGTCCCTAGAAAGAGGGTGTTTACTTATAATAGATATTAAGTGTTTACCATACAATTTGTATATAGATACAAGCAATGGATTAGGGAGGGGTATTTAAGCTCTAAGTAAAAAAAAATCTTGTGCCTGATAGACTAGCACAGTTAAAAACTGTGGAATATTTGCTCACTGCTTTGACATTATGTAAGTTAGAATACTGGTAGTATGTGAATTAAAGCACAGGTACACTACTGTATAAGCCAACACAAAAGAAACCTTTAAAAGGGTATTGTTTTGAGACATCTAAACATTTGGATGATGAGAAGTGATTATAGTAAATGACTAAATTAATAAAAATAAGTTGGATTACTCTTCTTTCTGCTTTATGGAAAACAATCATACAAAAAATGAAAAAATGACAGGAATGATGAGGACAGTGAGAGTAGTTGGTTGGCATTGTCTTTCTTTGCTAGATTTATCCATGACCCTAAAAGTATTCATTTAAAAGATCTATCTTTAAAGATAACCGAGATGAATGAATTTGGAAACAGATGTTGACAGTTGAGTTATGTCACCTGCCATTTTGATGTTCTCTCACTTGTCACACTGAAATTTCAACTAGTTTCATCCTTTGATTTCTAGTAAGTCAACCAGTTTTATTACTGTTGGCATAGCCTAATGTATTCAGTGTAAGAATCAGACAAAAATCTCCCAAATTATATGCCAATACTTTCCCTTAATTTAAAATGCTTTTCTATAATACTAGCTTTCCTGTTTGTATTTCTTTCTTTTCTGGAAAACTTTCATTTATAGTAGAAGTCTTTGGGTTATATAAAGTTAAGTTATTAAGCCTCTGGATGATTCTACTAATTAAAATTTGAATGTAATGTTAACCAGCATTTTAGGAAGCTTTCTAGTTGTATTATATAAAATATAATATTTTGGACAATTATTTTAAAAATCGCTGAAGCTATTTGAAACTGCCAATTTAGATTATTTTAATGAGTTTAGTTTTCCTAGCTCTTTTTATTTTTATAATGTGGTAAAAATTGAGCCCATTGTTCTCCCAGAGCACTATTCTCGTGCAAATTAAATAGTGACCCCATTCATTGGAACTTTACCTTTTTTTAGGGTGTCTAATTGAAAAAATATTAGGCTTGTGACATTTTCAATCCTTAGTTGTCTTTTGCCCCACATCTCTTGGGGTCTCTTATCTAATAGGCCAGCAATTAAAAATACTGTACAGAAAATGACATGTATTGAGTACCAATCCACATGTAAATACATTGTGATAAAAATTGCACCAGTTAACATTTCATTATTATTAAATGGAATGAATTTTAAACATAGGAACGGTGATTGTGTTGTACATAGGTAACTGGGTTTTGTTTCATTTTGAGTTTTCATAATAACTGTATTTCCAAATCTCAGTTATGTTCTTTTATAGTGCTTTTGCTATTACTTAGGTTCTTAGAGAGTGTTTCTACTGAATGTCAAAACAGCTCATAAAAAGTGAAAATTCAGTCAAATACTTTATGTTGTATGAAGTTAAAACAGTGCCTCAAACATTATTTTTTAATTTGAAGAAAGAGAATCCTAAATTGTAGTCAGATAAGCTTGTGTGCGTAGGCATGTAGAATATATGAATTAATGTAAAACTGTGATTAACTTGATGCTTGGAAACTCAAATTAATGGTTTTGAGGGGCTGTAATCTTTAACTTAAGTCATTAGATATCAAGGAAAAAATACTTAAGAGTAATAATTTAATAATTAAATAAGCTGTTATGTATACTCCTTTCAGTCTTGTGAGAATTAAGGTTTTTTTCCCCTTTTGTATCAAGTCAGGAGCATATACTAGTTCATTTGGCAATTCAAAAATAAGGGTTGAAGTAGTAAGTTGTTAACTACAATGCCACTTTCCTTGAGCATTCCAGGTAGTCTAGGTTTTACTGTATATTAATATTACATATCTGGCTCATTTTATTCAGCAGACAGTCATATTGCTTTTCACTTTTTAAACTCTGCTGTTTTATATTTTGAGACATCTAATTTTACTGAGGGGAAAAATGGAAATGTGGTATAGAGCCCTATTATATAGTGGCTCTAAAGGTACAGAAATGCATTTCCATTTTTGTTACAAGCTGTCCATTCTTCCCTGACTTACACCCGTTCCTTGCTTGTGCCCTTTGGTTTAACATTGTTCTCCTCCCCAATTTTCCTCTTCTCCTCATTGTAAACTCATGGCAGGGTCTGCTTGGTGAGCTCATTCTCTTACAACAGCAAATTCAAGAGCACGAAGAGGAAGCGCGCAGAGCTGCTGGCCAATATAACACGAGCTATGCCCAACAGAAGCGCAAGGTGATGGATGATTTAAGGGGGCTACTGATGTATTCACACTAATCAGCCATTTCTACCAAGATCATATCACCTTAATCCATTCATGGACTCCAGTGATGGGAAATTATTTTTGACAAAGTAAAAATATAAAAGATACATAATACAAATATCTAACTTTCCTGAAAATAAACCCAAAATATTAAACATAGGAATTTTCTCAAACTGAGATTCTCTGTGAGGGTCCATGGATTTGTATTTAGAGAAAAATTATGAATTCTGGTTTGCTTGGTCCAGTTATTGTATCACGTCACCCTCAGTTTCTAGCTTGTCTATGGTTCTCCCAAGTTTTCATTCCTAAAGTGTAAAGGATTACTGTGGACAACCACTATTTAAATTATTTAAAGAATGAAATTTGCTTGTTTTAGTAAAATGGGTCAGCAGAAAACATGGTTATTTCTTATAGAAGAAAACTATTTTGGTATAAATTTTGGGCAAAATTATTCGAATACACCCTGATAAACTCATTGATTAAGTTTTTCCACAATCATCAGTGAAGTCAGCACAAGTAAATTTTCACCTTGGACTACTGAAGGATTGAATATTGGAAATTTGATACGATTCAGGTTGCTGAAGAACAGATTCTAATAAAAGTCGGCATAAATCTGTACAAATGTTTGGTTTTAGGTATAATCAAGAAGTTCTTAAAAGGATGCTTTTGGCTGTTAGATGATCGCATGCTGTAGATCCCAACGTTAATGTTCTGAAGAGACTTGAGTCAAAATGAAATGAATGTAATGACTTTAAAGTTACATTCTGAGATCTTGACATCAGCTTAATTAGGTTACATATATTAGATCAGGAAAGTTTTAAAAGTCATATACAAATTTTACTCAGGAAAGGAGATTCAGCCATTTAATTAGCTTCCTGTAGGTTCTGGTTTAAAGTCAACCAATAATGATTTGATGCAGTAATTTTGCTTACTAACTTTACCTCATTTGGTGATGGGTAACACTTGAGAGTACTCCTCACAGTTTCATTTATCTTTTCAGTGTCACTTCCTGGCTTTTCTCAATTCCATGGCTGTAGAATCAACTCCTGTATATTTAGCTTTCAGTGAATGAACAACATAGGTGGAAATCGAAAATAAGTTATTTTCCTATTTGGTTAAGTTAAAGTAGATGTGTTAAACCAAGAAAGGGCTTATTTTAAATGGTGCTTTAGCATTCTCTGTATGTCGTTGAAGTGCCATTTAAATATTCTAACAAATTGGATGCTTAAGCTGAGCCATCTGTTCCTTAGGTTTGTTACAGAAAGAAGGGGAAAGAACTGGTATGTTCCGGTATGTTAGTTAGAAATATGAATAGCTCTAGTTACAAGTTCTTGTTTTTTCATAATGGTAAAATAATTTGAAATGAGTCCCACAGATCTGCCATTCTAAGATTCTAAGATATGGTTTAAGATCATCGATATACTTTTGAATCGGAGGATTTAAGGGATATTAGTAGTGAATAATGTTCATTTTCTGCATTGCCCAAGGTTAGTGTTCATTTGAGGCCTACTTTACTAGGCTGTTTACAGGTTTAGAGATCTCATTTCTCTTTCTGATGTCATCAGATTGTCCACATAATCTTTTATTCCACATTTTCCCCATTTGTAAAATAGCAGCTGACAGGACTGCATCTCCATGTGGTGTGGTTTATTGAGGCATACTTAGTAGAGCACCGGATAGTCTGGCCCACTCTGGAGTTACCCAGTGCGAAAGTAAATGGAACTTCAAAAGCAATTCATGCTCTTCTGTAATGACATCATTCCCCTGACTGTCCTTAAAGATCATTTCCTTACTGCATCTTCCCCCATTTCTCCCTGTAGTGGGTACACAGGTGACTTTTTCAGCCCTTCACTGTCTTCATGATCCGAATCCCAATTCGTGAGATTTGTGTCATTCCTCCAGGCATTTGAGGTTTTCTTGAGGTGCAGAACTACAGCTTTTTGTCACTTGTTAATCATTCTTCCTCCCTTACCTTTTTTTTTAAGAAGATTTTATTTATTTATTTGAGAGAGAGAGAATGAGAGATAGAAAGCAGGAGAGGGAAGAGGGTCAGAGGGAGAAGCAGACTCCCTGCTGAGCAGGAAGCCCGATGTGGGACTCGATCCCGGGACTCCAGGATCATGACCTGAGCCGAAGGCAGTCGCTTAACCAACTGAGCCACCCAGGCGCCCTTTTTTTTTTTTCTCCCTTACCTTCTTGAAAATATAAGTAGGCCTTCATTTTTTTATATCTTATTAGTAGCAGCTAATAAACTGTCCATATAGCTCATGCAGACAGTAGATTCAAACTGCCTTTGGTAGTTTTGCCTCCTATGAATACATACACATACATGGAAATGTTTACGAGTCCTTTACCAATGTGTTTCGGTATTTTGGAACGGCCACAATGGCTTAGTGGGAAGAAATACTTAAAATACAACACTCAGGCTTGGTTTTGTGAGGAGCTAGTAAAGGTTTTTCTTTTTCAGCTTTAGCTTGTTTCTGCGGAGGATTCCGCTCTTTCTCCATCAGATTCACAGCCGTGGAATTGTAGAAAAGCTGTGGTTTCAAGACCATTGATACCCATTTCTGTCAGGGTGAGTTTTAAATTAATTTCATAATGCAAACTGAATATATTGAACAATGGGACAAGAACTTAAGTCTTGTCGTAAGTAGCAGAACTTTACCAGTAAAGTGCATCAACATTAAATATACCCAGATTAGCTAGTTAAGATATTGAATAAGTGACAGGTGAAAAATCATATGTGCTGTTCCTTTAAGAAAATACAGAAAAGTATCTTTTCATTATCTTTAATATTTACTTTGTAAACCTAAAGGTTTTCATCGTATTTCCTAGAATGTATTAGGTCTGATTCCTGACTCCACCACCACACTTGTCTTTTAATATAATGTTAATTTTGATGTTCCATTAAACTGAGTAGATAGGAAGCATAGTGATAAAACTACGCATGAGTTATGCCTAACACTTGTGCCAGAAGGGCAAATGATAAATCCAAAGACTTCTAAAACTCCAAATTTATAAAAATCTTAACAGTCATAGTTGCTAAATACTAATATTAGCATAAAGATTGTGATAGTCTAATAACCTTGTATCATTTTAACTTTCTATAGACCCTTTTTATTTTACCAAATTACCAAGTTAACCTATAGACCTTGGTTTACAGTAAGCATTCTAACTTTTTTGTGTAATTTTATTAGTTACTTAATTATTGTCCCAGATGTAGAGTACTAGTGGATTTTCTATTATAATTTAGGATATATTGCAGAAGTCATTAAATATTCGCATTCAAAGCTTAAAACGGTTTATACTAATACTGCTTATACATTTCATACTAACTTAGCTGCAGTCGGATGAGTATTTAATAGAACACAATTAGCTTTTAAAATGAATTGGGAATTCAATCTACACAGCAAAATTTTTATGACCACATTATTAGAGCATGATGGCAAGCTGTATGAAAACAATATGGAATTATTTCATCCGTCTTCAAGATTTTGTTCTTTGGGTTATTGGTGCCTTCTCAGCTTGCTTGTTTCCTCACATTTTAGGAGACTATTAATAATTCTTGTCCATTTTACACAAACACGGTCAAATGAAAAAGCTTCTCTCCGTAAGTCTCTGCTTGCTGTACAAGAATGAGAAAACAGTAATACAAATTTTGTTTTATATTATCTTTTCTTCTAATTACTGAAGCATATTTGGAGATTTTTAGTCATAGACTTTTAAGGAAAAAATAATTTGTTTGTAGCAAGTATTATTTTTATTTAAAAGAAGTTAGGGGAATATTTTGAGAAACTATTTGGAAAGAGGAATTAAAACCTCAAAATAACTTTTTGTGTGGATAAGAGTTATTAATATCTACCTCAATAAGTAAATCATTTAAAATTTTTTCATATACAGTTGCTACCATAATGTCTTGATTGCTTAAATAGCCATTGAATAAAAGTGAACATGGACTTACATGAAGTTTACCTTGAGTTTTGTCTCCTATGAAATAAATTCATGTTTATGAATTTTAATGACCAGAAATTAGACAATTATTTTGAAAGACTGAGTATGACAACTTCTGCACCTCACCAAGGAGTCAAAGCACAGTTATATGGGTTTGTCATAAATGATATCATTTTAATAAAATTGATCATTGTGTTTTATATTTTGAATTATACTGTAACTAGAGCCTGTTAATGTAATAAAGTTCTTTGTTGTTTTGGATATTTTATCTTAGAAGTATTAGCTTTAGTAACAATTGGATGTAGTTTCCACAATACCTGTAGGTTTTGTCCTACTTTTGTTTTATGTTTAAATCAATTTTAGTTGCCTTACTCAACTTTATTGCTACTGCATTCACTCTATTATGGGTTAGCAGATCTTGCACTGGAACTGAATTTAAAAACAAGCAGCTGGCTCCACTTAAAGCTCTGAAAATACAAGTTATTCTTTGCATTTATTAAATACTTCCCTACTTACAGAATAGAAATGGGTAATAGATGCTTAACATATACACTATGACTAGTGAAATTTTTTCAGTACTATAAATGATAACATGCATCTAAGTTCCCAAAACACATTTCTATAGGTGTCAGTGCTCTTTTTCTCCAAGCATCCAAATGCCTGGGGTTGAGTATAAAACAACCTATGAAAAGTGTAGTAACCATATGTGTTGATCTCTTATTTTTCTAATGAGCCATTCATCAGAAATGACGAGAATAGCATCTGGAAAAGGATTGCTTTTTTAAGGCTTTTACGTATTAATACAGTTACAAAATTTCAATAAGCAGTTTTAGTGTTGAATACAGATTTTTTTACGTTATTAAATCATTTGATTTAAAATTTGCTTTGATTAAATATGCATGTAAAGTCAGTAGTTTTTGTTTTTAAAAATACTTTTCAAAAAATTTAACTTACTGTACATTTTATGTAAATCTATTTCTACTGAAATAAAATTAATTTATTTTAAATATTTAGGTGACAGACAAAGAGAAAATTGACCAGCTTCAAGAAGAACTTCTGCATACTCAGGTAATTCTGATGAGTAGAAAGAACCAGGGACTTTAGGGGCACCTGGGTGCCTCAGTCATTTAAGCATCTGCCTTCAGCTCAGGTCTTGAGGGTTCTGGGATTGAGCCCCACATCGGTCTCCCTGCTCAGTAGGGAGTCTGCTTCTCCTCCCTCTGCCTGCTGCTCCCCCTCCCTCTGCCTGTCGCTCAGAGAGAGAGTGCGCAGGCTCTCTCTCTGTCAAATAAATAAAATCTTTAAAAAAAAAAAAAAAGAACCAGGGACTTTATCTTAAGTTTGATAATGGAATTTTTTTAAGAGTGAAATTTGGAGTGGTTTGATGATAGGACCTTATAAATAGATGTAAAAAAAATGCAAAAGTAAATTGAGAAATAAGGAATAAAAAAGAAACTTGGTAAATGTGGTTTAACTCCTTTATTTGTAAAAACCTTTTTTTTTTAATGTTTTATTTATTTATTCATGAGAGTCAGAGAGAGAGAGGCAGAGGCAGAGGGAGAAGCAGGCTCCCCGCCTAGCAGGGATCCCGATGCGGGGCTCGATCCCAGGACCCTGGGATCATGACCTGAGCCGAAGGCAGACGCTCAACCATCTGAGCCACCCAGGTGCCTTGTAAAAACCTATTTTTGAGTGAATCTTATACTTCTAATTTTAAAGGAAAACTGCTATGGAAAAAAAGTGGGGGAAAGTGACTTGTTCTTACATAGACCTGTGCTTGCATTTTTACATTGATGGACTAATTAATTTAAGTCATATAAGAAGTTGATTTGAGTCTACTGTAGTTCTAATCAGCCCTCAGTATCTTTTCCCTTTACTTCTCTAAATCCCTAAACTAATCAGATAATGACTTTTCTAAATGTATTTCCGGCACAGTTTGAAAAGCTCCTCTCATGTAGTTTGTTATAAAACTCATTATTTTAAAGTTCTGTGCAATCTGATGAGTAGGTAAATTCTAGTACAAAATTGCCGTATCACACACTCCATCATTAGTTAATATATTTTTACGATTACTACTATATTATGATGTAATATAAATACAATAATAATATATAATCTAGTTATGTTCATTTACATGGATAACAATGATGTGCAATAATTAAGAAGTTTTTGTCTTAGGGTACCTGGGTGGCTCAGTTGGTTAAGACTGCCTTCGGCTCAGGTCATGATCCTGGAGTCCCGGGATCAAGTTCCGCTTCAGGCTCCCTGCTCATCAGGGAATCTCCTTCTCCCTGTGCCCACCCCTCCATGTGCTCGCTCTTTTGCTCAAATAAATAAATAATGAAATCTTTAAAAAAAAAAAAGTTTTTGTCTTTTAAGAAAACTTTTTAAGGGGGTCTCTTTTTAGGGAAAAAATGCAGAAGACAACCTAGATGAAATTAAACGGTATATTTTGAGTCACAGGTTTTCTTAATATCTGTGCATTGATTTCATTGCTATCTATGCATTGATCCTCCTGCCTGACTATACCATAGACTCACTTGTGCTCTGGCCATCTCCATATATATATGTGTATATATATATATATATTTTTTTTTTTTAAGATTTTTATTTATTTGACAGAGAGACAGCGAGAGAGGGAACACAAGCAGGGGGAGTGTGAGAGGGAGAAGCAGGCTTCCCGCCAAGCAGGGAGCCTGATGTGGGGCTCGATCCCAGGACCCTGAGATCATGACCTGAGCCGAAGGCAGTCGCTTAACCAACTGAGCCACCCAGGCGCCCCTCCATATGTATTTTTAAAGGCTTCCCAGCCAAGCAGTTGTAATCTTCAGTTCAGCCAGAGGTTAGGAATCATTGGTCTCAAAGTGTGGTCTCTGGAGCAGTTGCATCGGTATCTTTCCAGGAACTTGTTAGAAATGCAAATTATTGACCCTTTCCGAAACCTCCTGAATCAGAAACGGTAGAAGTAAAACCCAGCAATCTTTCTTTTTAAAAGCCCTCAAATTATTCTGATGCATCCTTAAGTTTGAGAATTATTAGTTTAGATCTTTGGAGGACAGCTCAGTAACACATCTCTGCAGAATGGCTAAAGAATGGCACCGATACCAAATGTTCCGTCCCCAGAAAATGTAGACCCCATAATTGATTCCGTATCTACAAAGAAATGAGCCATTGGAAATCCTACCACCCTTATATATTCATTGATATCAACTCTTTGACTTGTGCAATTTGTAGTGTCAGCCAGTGGGCATTGACACAAACACTGTATGAAAAATTCCTGATATAATAAGCCCTGAGGTTCTCTGTATCAGTGATGTGCAAGAGAAATACAATGCAAGCCACATGTGTAATTTAAAATTTTTACATTCCAAAAAGGTAAAAAGGAATAGGTAGAACTGATTTTAATAATACATTTTATTTAGTCCAGTAAATTCCAAATTAGTATCATTTAAACGTGTAATTAGTATAAAAATAGTAATGAGTATTTTATTTATTCACATATTTACTGAATCATAAAAGTCTGGTATGTATTTTACACTTAACAGTACATCTCAGTTCAGACTGACTACATTTCACAGTGCTCAACAACTCCAGTGGCTAGTGGCTACCATATTACACAGCAAAAATCTATTTATGTCAGAATTTTTTTGTATATATTATATATACAACATATAAATGAACAAGTATTGTTAAAAAATGTTTATAGTAGAATCTAGCTTCTAGTTCTACCTGTCTCATATTACAGAGTTCTACTGCAGAATATGCTTTTTTAAAATTTGACTATAGTTGGACATTCTCTGAGGATAGACCCCTGATTTCCTGTTACTTACTTTGTTCTTGAAAGATTACAACAACCTAAAAATTTTCCTAAAAATGATTTTCCATTTTGAAAGGCATGATATTAGAAGTTGGACATAAACATTCTGCTGGTTGTAGGAACAAGTAATTCTTAATAGTGTCTGAACATTATTCATGTTTAGAGAAGAAATGATAGTATACAAACTGAAAGGACCAAGTAGAAAAGGATCGCATTTATTTGAGAAGAAAAGTGTATAGCTAAGCATCTACTTTGGCAAAACAAGCTGTCTACATGTATTAGTCTTATTTAAATCTGTTTTTATATCAGTATTTTAAAAATTAATGTGTAATCTCTGGCCTTGGTAACTTAACCAAAATTTGGAGTTTGAGCTCTTGACTCTGACCTATATTCAAAACCCTGTGACCTTGGATAGGCTATCAAGGGTCCCTAACCTCGGGTCCCTAATCTAGGTTACCTTTGCCTCATGTAAAGACTTAAGGAAGCTCTAATGCTTGTAAAACACTCAGTATTGGGCCTGTCACGTAATACGTGCTCAGGTACTATTAGCTGTTGTTATTTTATATCATTTTAATATACAACATAAAATAATATGGGGAATGGGAAGAATTTGAATTTTTGTCAATTGTCCCTATAGTAAAGACATCAATTTTTGATGTAATAGGAAATACTGTTTCAATAGAGTGTACTTAAGAACTTGCTTCTTTAAATTCTTATATTTTAGTATTTTTAAATAATTCAGTTTCTTCAATGTAAATAGCAAAGAATTTTCCAAATAAAATGCCAAATTATAATAGAAAAATGAATTCCACTGTTTGAGATAATTTTCATAATTGATTTTATTCTCAACATTTTTGAAGAAGCTTTTTAAATGAAATAATTCATTTTAAATATTCAGGAGATATGACTTCAGGATTTTGGAAGATTTTAATTTAGACTTAACTAAATTATTAACTCATCTTTTTCTTACGTAGTTATGGTGTTATTTTGTTACAGTTAAAGTACCAGAGGATCTTGGAACGGTTAGAAAAAGAGAACAAAGAATTAAGAAAATTAGTACTGCAGAAAGATGACAAAGGCATCCATCACAGAAAACTTAAGGTATTTTCAGTTTACCTTAATTTTGCTAGTTCCAGAACTTTGCTACTTCACATTGTGCGTTCATCAATACCAGTTGTTAAAGCTGTAATGTGTTCTATCCTTTTCTTTCTAACCTGATATCCTTGGGAGATAGGGAAGTCTTTTCCTATATTAAGACACCTCATAAATTATAGTCGCCAGATATTTGTTTCATACGAGGCCCATACAATTTTCATTCTTTTGACAGTCATTTCTTGTGAATCAGTTTAGTTTTCTAAAATACCACATTTGTCTTTAGGCTTATTTAATTTCTGCAGCTATAAGTCAGAATTGTGAGTTTAGGGACATGTAGATATGACTTAGCATCATAACTTACTTGTATTTCCAGGGAATGATTAGTCCACTTTCTTCAGTTTTATAAGAATTTTACATTTTCTTCTGGAAGGTTTCTTAGGCATTTTAAAGCATTTTCGTAAAAAGCATATGCTGATATTTTTATCAACACATTGGTAATCACCATTTTCAGTAAGTTAAATCTCATTATTGCCCACTAAACCAGGCTGTATTTGCTGAATTAAGCTGAAGTAATATTTTTAACTTATATCTCATATAAGTAAACAATTTGTGTGTAGCAAACCTACAATACATCATGGCACATGTATTCTGAGGCCAAGGTCCAAAGATAAGTAGTTCTAGTTTAACCAACATGTATTAGTAGTTCTGACTCTAAATCATGTCTGCATAAAACAGATAAATAGCATGGCTTTATTCACAAGTTACACATGGCAATTGAGAAAAGTCATGTCCAAGTGTTAATATATTTTGAGAGTTCACCTCAGAAACGGTATTTTCTCTCATGAAATGAAATAGTAATGAAAATTTCAAGAATTTTTTGTTTATTTTTAGGTGGAAGTGATAGCAGTTGCTTTCCATTTAATTACTTCTGGGTGTTAGGAAGATGAAAGGAAGTGTAGGCCCTCGTTTTCTTCCTACCTTGCATTGAAACTTGTCTTTAATTATTAAATGCTTGGCATAGTAGTCCTTTTTCTCCTCGCTTGTTTATTTATTTATTCATTCGTTCTTCAGATACTTTCTTGAAGCTTATTATTTGCCAGGTACCATGTTCTGTCCGGGTCCTAGAGAGAGAAACAATGCAGGATGCTGCCCCCGATGCTCTCACACTTGAGTCTGCCCAACTGTCACAGTCCACTTACTCGTTCTTACTGATTTAACAGTCTTCTTGGTGATGTCTTCTCTACTTTTATCCTTTCTTCAGTTTCTTTCTCTCTCTCCCTCCCTCTGATACACATACCAAACGTGATAGAGGATGATTTCCTTGTAGTTGGTCACCTGACTCCTTGTTTGGCCTTTATGGTATTAATGGTCTTCCTTTGTTGGGTATTTAATATTAGCTCTTCAATAATAAACAGTAACTTCCCTCTTTTAACATTTAATTGGAAGGTTAGGAAATCCTCAGTTAATGTACTATATTAAATCACCATATCTCTAAATAAATTGAATATGAAAAAATGGAATTTTATTCTATACTGTTTTACTATGAAAGTGTTATTTATGTAATTAGAAAAAAACAGTACAATCATTATGGAAGAACATTTTGGATTTATCAGCTTTTTTTTCTCTTGACACATCTGATTTTCTTTAATTTGTTCATTGTTTAATATTAATTTTTAAAATTTTATAGAAATCTTTGATTGACATGTATTCTGAAGTTCTTGATGTTCTGTCTGATTATGATGCCAGTTATAATACACAAGATCATCTGCCAAGGGTAAGTGAAAAATTAATACATAGTGAACTTGCTCTTTAGCAAAAGAACACTTTTAGGTTTTAAAAAAGTTATGTGTGTCTATATATGTGTGTGTCTATATATATATGTGTATATAGACACACACACACTCAGACACACAATGTAGCCATATACATATGGACACACCACACAGACATAAACAGAGACATATATTTTTTACCTATATAATGTTATTTATGCGCTCTAGATGATGTCTTAAGCATTGAATGTTGTTTGACTATTTTGGTCCATTGGCTTACTTATATTTATGTGTAATTAAGTAAGGTTATCAGGTACTTGGCATTATGTATTTATAACATCCATGAAACTAAAATTCCGGAACAGTGGATGAAATTAGTCAGTGAGTGAAATTTAACATCATAGAATTGAAAATGTCTTTATGAAGAGTAAACTGGCTGTGGAAAAGATTTGTAGAACATGAATGATATGGTTTTAGAAGTGGTGGCTTAATTAGCACAACTTTTTCTTAAAAATTTGGTTATAAATAATGGATCCAATTAATATTTTGCTGTTTATATTTTCAGTATGCATAGAGGTAACAACCATCTTTGTTTTTATGGATGGGATTTTTAAAATCATTTAACTGTAGGTATTTTAAAAGACTGAAAAATCTCAGCAGTATTTCATATCTATTTAAATATAAGCCTGTATTTAAAAATCTGAATTAATGTTATGTGCTCTATGGTAAGGTGGTTGTGGTTGGAGACCAGAGCGCTGGAAAAACTAGCGTGTTGGAAATGATTGCCCAAGCGCGGATATTCCCTCGAGGATCTGGGGAAATGATGACACGCTCTCCGGTTAAGGTAGGACAGTAGGCCATCTGGAGGAAGCTCCTCAGGAAGGTAGCTTCTTCAGTGAAGTTTGTTCATTATGTTGAAGTGAAGAATTGTAACTAAAAAGAATTGACACATAGCACTGGGAATTAGTCCTATTGTGGAAATTGGTGGAGGCACAGCCTGGAGACCAGTGGGACAGGCGCGGGGCAGGTGATGGAAGAGAGAGAGAAGAGGAGGGCAGAGGCGTGGTTGGGCCGGGCTGCCCTGAGCTGTTGTTAGCACTCTGGATTTTATTCGGAGTGAGGTCACTGAGAGGCTGAGTTAGAAGATGACGGTATTGGAAGTGGAGTCAGTAAATGTAGATAATTTTCCTGGTTTACTGGAAGAAAATAGAGCAATGGGGCAGTACCCATTTCTGGGGCTTTACCACCTTAACCCAGGGCTGCTTGATACCCTGATCTCTTACCTTGTCTCCTCAACCCAGTAAGACCACTTCAAGTTTTAACCTTTTTTCTTATGCTACCCTGTGCCATAAATCTGCAGTTGAAATGTGTTGGGTCAAGGGAAAAATATTTACATACTGATTGTAATGATCTACTTTTAGAGGTAAAAATGATGATGTAAGAGACAGGGAACAATTGATTGCAGTAGCAGGGTCTTTGAGGTAAAAGGCTGGGACTCAGCATGCAATATATAGAAGTTCTAACAGTTCGTCCGTAGTCACAGGAAGAAAGTCTATGGCTACAGTCTTTCATTCAACAAATAGTTATGGAGTGCTTAATACATTCAGCACTGTTCTAGGCAGTGTGTTGGTTAAACAAAACAAAGATCCTTGCCATAATGGAGAATACATTCTAGTAGGGGAAGCAGGCAATGAAACGAGAGGCTAGATTATTAGCTGTGAAGTAAAGAGGGGGGAAGGTATTAAAGATTAGCTAAGAAGTCTTTCTTGGCGAGTGCTGACTCCAGAAGTGAGTTGATGTTGATGAGAGAAGGCAAGATAATAGGATTCCTGAGCCATACTAAGGGCTCCATTAAGATCTATGGATACAGGGGCGCCTGGGTGGCTCAGTCGGTTGAGTGTCCAACTCTCAGTTTTGGCTCAGGTCATAATCTCAGGGTCATGAGATCGAGCCCCATGTTGGGCTCTGTGCTGGGTGTGGGCCTACTTAAGAGTCTCTCTCTCCCTCTGGCCATCCTTCTGTGCCCCTCCACCCCCCAACATGGGCGCTTTCTCTCAAAAAAAAAAAAATCTGTGGACATAAATTTGAGGGAAAGCTGTATGGGTGTGTGTGTGGTTTTTTTTTTTTTTTCTTTTACTTTAGCTGGTGGTTGTAGAGTAATTGGAGAATTAGAAAATTGACATCACCAAGAACGAAGGCCAAAATAGACAATAAGGCTGATGCTAAAATCTTCCAGAAATGAAGTCTATTCATAACTGCAACAAGCAGTCTAGTATGATTTATACGGAATGCACTGTTTTGGGTCTGGGTGTCAATTCAACTATGTTGTGTAAAACTAGTTTCTTTTCCATTGCTCTGTAGTTTTGTGTGAACGCACCAAAATTTATAGATCCATTTTACTATTGATGGGCATTTGGGATATTTCCAGTGGGGGGAAATCTGACTGCACCTCATATCTTGCTCTATAATCATCTCTAAAAACATTGTAAAAACCTACCTTCTACATTGCTACTAGCATTCTAATTGTAGTGGCTGTTATATGAATAACATGATGAATGATGTTTTGGTAAAATAACATTATGAATGATGTTTTATTATAGGAAGGAATTAATTTTCTTCTAGCAGGCAAGTAAATCATGGACAGATTTCCTTCTTTCCAGTTCACCATTACACCTCTAGAATTTACTAGGACTTCTTCTCCTTGATGGACTCTGAACTCCAGATTTTTGTCTCTCCTAAACAGATTGCCAGAATCTTGACTTAGCATTTTAGCCTTTTTAGCAGATTCTTTCTGCTTTGTTAACTCATGTGCAAACACCTTATGGGGAAATTGTGCACAAAAGGTAGGGCTTGTTCTTTGGAGATTCATTTCTGCTGTCTTTTTTTCTGGGGCTTTACCACCTTAACCCAGGGCTGCTTGATACCCTGATCTCTTCTCTTGTCTCCTCAACGCAGTAAGACCGCTTCAAGTTTTAACCTTTTCTCTTATGCTACCCTGTGCCATAAATCTGCAAGCACCGTGAAGGAAAGCAGCCATAGGAGTGTGTCCTAAAATCCTCTGGGGTCTTGGACCAAGTCCAGGCTGCCATGGTTGCTCTCCAGTGCCTTCAAACAGCTGAGTTTTGTTGGTTATCTAGCCTGCTTAGCTTGTCTCAGTAGAAGGAATTGTATTTTAAAAAGTGAAATCAGATAATTATAAAGAAACTTGAAAAGTTACAATTGAAAAGTAAAGGAATATGAACTTAAAAGTTCTCATGAAAGCCCTGACTGTTGATACATAAGTTGTTAGAAAATTCCTTATGCAGATGTCACTCACTCCTTGGGTGAAGGCTGCCTTAGCTCCCCTGTGGTCATTCTTGTGTGCACCTAGGTTTTGCTACACTGTCCTGTTAGCTCTGTGTATATTTCTCCCAGGAGGTAGTGAGATCTAAACCAGGGACAGTCTGTTCTTGGTTTCCCCCCCTGGAACACTTGACACAGTTAGCCCTCAATAGATAGAAATTGAATAAATGAATTCTCCTTTACCTAAGTTGACCTGTGAAGTTAAATCCAAAATTTCTTTTTGTTTTTCAGGTTTTAGGTTGATGTTTTTGTGTTCAGTAGTCTTACAGCCTTGACTGGGAAAGGAGAGGGACAGCAGCATTTAATTTTAGGTCATGAAAGATAAAGAGTAGCCAGCAGTCTTGTTGGGAAGTTACAGCACATGTAACAGATGTATGGACAATACAGATAAAAAATTCTGTAGTCTCTGTACTGCCATGTTGACAGCCCCCAGGGGTGTTCCTAATGTGTACTATGAGGGCATGCCCAGATTTATGCAGTGCAGTGGGCCTCTCTAGACCATGTAAGTCCTATGGGATCAGTATGAATTGTAAATGCATTACTACCTCTCGATTTTCCATTAATTTCAGGTTACTCTGAGTGAAGGTCCTCACCACGTGGCCTTGTTTAAAGATAGTTCTCGGGAGTTTGACCTTACCAAAGAGGAGGATGTAAGTAGAATTTACGTGGAGGTTCATGTGTGTAACTTTATAACTCCTATAAGCTTATGAAAGACAACTAACTGGAATATTTGTTAGCTGAAGATTTTCATAGGATTTTGTTGTTTTCCATTAATAGCTTGCAGCATTAAGACATGAAATAGAACTCCGAATGAGGAAAAATGTGAAAGAAGGCTGTACTGTTAGTCCTGAGGTAAGTGTTGTAATTCATTTTAACAATGTTCTATGGAAATTCACAAAGTTAATGATTTCAGATAAATCATGATATTGGTATTCGTGTTTAGATTGCAGCTATTCTAAGAAACATAGATTTTTTTTAATATTCCAAATAATGTATCATTTTGTGGGTAATTTCCTAGAATAATTAAAAGGATTAGAAAAAGAGTAACTTCTTTCTGAATGGATGAGATTCAGAATTTTCAGAATATATATCACCAATAAATTCCTAACAAACCAACCCCCCACAATGAGTTTTGTTTTGTTTTTTCCCTGAGTAGACCATATCTTTAAATGTAAAAGGCCCTGGACTGCAGAGGATGGTGCTTGTTGACTTACCAGGTGTGATTAATGTAAGTATATACAAAATGTGTATTTTGTCTTGTTCCTATTGTGGAAAATACATATAATGACATTTAAAACCTTTTTCTTCAAGACTGTGACATCAGGCATGGCTCCTGACACAAAGGAAACTATTTTCAGTATCAGCAAAGCTTATATGCAGAATCCTAATGCCATCATACTATGTATTCAAGGTAAATCTTATCAAAAGGTTTTAATTGCACTGATATGCTTCCTTCTTTAGCAATCTAAGCTTTGCTCTAAATATGCATGTTACATAAACATACAAGATAAATGTCTTGCATTTTATTAGTAAATGGAATTAAAATTGGGAATATTTTGAAAAATTTCATTGTAGGCATCACAGATTTTTATCGGCTAGAATTTCTTTTCATAACTAAGATAAATGTATTAAGAAAATTTTTCTTACTCTAATCTAGATATAAGGGTGTAGCGTATAGAAATTTTAAAACCTACTTTGCAATTGTTAAGTATCATTTTTCAAATTTTTTTCAGATGGATCTGTGGATGCTGAACGCAGCATTGTTACAGACTTGGTCAGTCAAATGGATCCTCATGGAAGGAGGACAATATTTGTTTTGACCAAAGTAGACCTGGCAGAAAAAAATGTGGCTAGCCCAAGCAGGGTAAGGGCAAGTTCTTCATTATGAGAAAACAGATTCTTTGTACAAGCTTCAGCCATGATAGGGACTGGTGATAAAAACAAAAACAAACAAGCAAACAAAAACTCCTTGTGGAATACTTTAGTGGGATTTTTCTTCTCATTAAAAACAAAGTATTAGAAAGTTACAATAAATTATTTAAGTGCAATTTTGAAGTATAAATAAAATTCCATAATTTTCAGTTTGTTTACTTCAGAAATTCTTAGAAAACTGTTAATATTGCTTACTCTAATTTAAATAATCTTGTATGCTGACAGTCATTAGCCACTTATTAATTAACCACAAATTAATAATGATTGTGGTGTTTCTTTTCTAAATTTTTTTTCTTTTTAGTTAATGTTCATAAATTAGTGTAGACCTGGTGACAGTACAGATTCCTTTTGGACATTGTGTATACTTATTTTTTTTGCAAACAAACATTACCTTTCCTAACTGATCAAAGACTAAGAAGCAGATTTTTATAATAGGGAAGGCACTGGTTGGTGTCAGGCCTCAGCATTCTTATCTGTGCTCCACCACCAACTGGCTGTGTGTCCTTGGGCAAATCTTGTTAATTCTCTGCATCTAGTTAGTGCATAATCCATCCTATTAATCTAGTTGATCTTTAGGGTCATTTTCATTTCTGAAATTCTGCAACTTTATACATGTCCCTCCTGTCCCTCTCTTGTAACAAGGAAGGAGTTTTATTTCAAGATGACACTGTAAGTATTATTAGGGTGCAAGTTGTAACTAAGGGCATGCTCTTTACTTAGTTGTAAAGGCAGAAGGGAGTGGTTGAGAGTACAGAATCTGTAGCCAGATTGCTTGGTTTCAAATGCTGGCTCTACTCTTTGCTAGCTGTATAATGTTGGGTAAATTTTTAAACTTTTTTAGTGCTTTCAGCTTCCTCATCTGTTGGGAATGAAGATAATGGGTACTGTCTCATAGGTTGCAAAGATTTAATGAGTTAAATATTTGTTGTGAAGTGGTTAAAATAGTGCTTGGCACTGTCTTATAATACATGGTGGCTGTCATCTGTTATTACTATATCTTGATCCCCCATAGCACAACTTAAGGTATAAGTACCCATCCCTTGTGCTACTGCTTAGAATTTCTCTCCTTCCCACCTGAAACTTGCTGCAAGTGTGCCTTTTGTGCTGGGTTCCCAAGATAGACCACCCCGAAGTTCACCGATTCCGTAGAAGGACTCACAGGACACACAGTCATCCTTATACCTAACATCTGTTAACAGTGATTGGATACAAAGCAGAATCACAAAAGGCAAAACTACAAGAGATGGTATCTGGAGGAAACCAGGCTCAGGTTTCCAAGAGCCCTCTCCCAGTAGAGTCCTGCAGGAAGCGCTTAATCCCTCCAGCAACAAGTTTCTCATGAGAGATTCAACACCTAAGGTTTTTACTGGGGGCTGTTCATGTAGGCACCCTCAAGTACCAAAATTCCAGACACCCAAAGGAAAGCAGATGTTCAGCAGAAACCACATTACTCACACAATGAGCCACTGTTATGCGGGGAAAGTTTTGTATCAATGTGGGAATTGTTTACCAGTGAGGTCCTCAGATGCCAGTGAAGGGCGAGCAGGCCTTTCTAAGGACAGCAGTCTCAGGCTGCTATGTTAACTCTTCTCTGCACAGCCTCCCTGACCTTTGCTTTGCTGTATTGGGGGGTGGGGAGTGCCTGCTATGGTGGTATTGGACCTGGTTTGGAGACAGGGAGAAACAAGGTAGAAGCGAATTCTGTGCCTCTTTCCCATGTCCCTTCATTTCTCTCATTACTTTCCCCTCTTCTCTAGAATAGTGAGTTTGTATTTCTTTTGAAATGCAATTGAATTTTGTATCAATCCTTTTTTATACCAAAGAGTCAGCATTAGCTCAGGTGTGTAACTTGTCTTAGAGAAGGGATTCTTACTGTGTTATTAATGTGAACAGGCTTCTGGGAGCAGGAACTCTTAAACTGTGAATGATAGATCTCTATGCAAATATGCATTTTTCTGGGGACAGAGTCTCTAGTTTTTATTACATTTGGAAAAGGGTTTTTGACCCTAAAAGAGATGAGAGCCAGAGTAAGATAAGACAGTCCAACTTGGTTAGAATTTATCTATTTGAAGAAGAGTATGGGGAAATAATCATCGCAGCTGCCATTACCGAATGCCTCTGCGTGCCTGGCACTGTGGTTTGTATCGTAGTGCCTCAAGAGATTCTTCTCAACAGTCATTTTGAAAAAAGTAAGTAGCTTCTTAAGGCCTCATAGCTAGTAAGTGGTGGAGCTGAAACTAAACTGAGGCCTGACACCAAAGCACTACACATCATTCCAAGTTTTAATAATGCATCTTAGGTCTTAATAATGTATCTTTTAGTGTAGTAAAATTAAATATATTCATTTTTCCCCTCAAATAGTGATTAAAAAACATTTTAATACTTTTGTACAGATTTATATATTTGACTGAACATATATATGCAGCATTATTAAATTTTCTTTCTGTATAGTATGTTGTACTTTAAAAAAATTATATAAACCTACATCTCACATTTATTTCCCACTTTTAAAAATAGATTCAGCAGATTATTGAAGGAAAACTCTTCCCAATGAAAGCCCTGGGTTATTTTGCTGTTGTAACAGGAAAAGGTATGCAAAGATGGATTATTATAATTTAAGATTTTGTTGTTTTCAAATAAGATTAATTTTCTTAGACCTCCAACATCTTTCCCTAGGAAACAGCTCTGAAAGCATTGAAGCTATAAGAGAATATGAAGAAGAATTTTTTGAAAATTCAAAACTCCTAAAGTAGGTATATGGTTTAAATATTTGAAGATTTTTGTAGTGAGGGAGTAGCTTAAACTGTTTTCACTTAAAAGTTTGTTTCATAGCTGCTGGCTTAACATTGAATTTCCAGCATTTTTCCCAAATAGTGATCTGTGTCTAATAGGCAAGTCCTCGAGCTACTCAGAATTAGGAGCATCTTATCACTGGTATAATACATGCTGGTGTAAAAAACTGCCCCTCAGGCTGTGGGCACTGAAAGACAACACGGACACCTCTTTAGTTGTTTTACTTATGAAATAATATTTAAAAATCTATGCTTACATTTTTGTTTATCTTTTAAAGAAACCCATCCTTCTGATATTTTACTTTATTTTATTTATTTATTTATGTTTTATGTAAACTCTACCCCTGACGAGGGTATCAAACTCACAGCAAGATTCGCATGCTCTCCCAGAGCGCGTGGGTGGTTCAGTCAGTTCAGCATCCAGCTCTAGATTTTAGCTCAGGTCATGATCTCAGGGTTGTGGGATCGAGCCCTACATTGGGCTCTGCACTTAGTGGGGAGTCTGCTTGAGATTCTCTCTGTCTCTCCCTCTGCCTCTCCCCCCGCTCGCGCCCATGAGCTCTCTCTCAAATAAGTAGATAAAATCTTTTTTTATTGTTTTAAGATTTTATTTATTTACTTATTTGAGAGAGAGCGGGCGAGCAGGGGGAGGAGCAAAGGGAAGGGGACAAGCCGACTCTGTGCTAAGCGCGGAGCCCAACGTGGGGCTTGATCTCATGACCCCAAGATCATGACCTGAGCTGAAACCAAGAGTCAGATGGTTAAACAACTGAGCCACCCAGGCACTCCTCAATAAATAAAATCTTTAAAAAACAAAAAGAGTTGCATGCTCTACCAACTGAGCCAGCCAATTTCCCTCAACAGTTATGTTGTGAATACATGTATTTGGTTCTCTTCAGTATTGGGGAAAGTTGGAGTGGAGGGTGGGGTTGTCAAAGGGGTATCCCTAAATAGATATTGACAGAAATTAACAGAAAATAAGATCCTGATAGAAAAGCAAAAAGGAAGAGCTAAAGGCCAACTGAATTATATTAAAATGGCAAGGTATGTTTGCATCTGTATTAGTATAGTAAATCAAGATAGCTCTTGCAAACATGGTCTTGAGTATTATATGTGGGGAGGAGCTGACAGTCATATGGAACTTAGCTGTCCAACATGATGGGCACTAGCCTCCGGTGGTTACTTAAATTTGAATTAGTTAACTTTAAACTTTAAACTTCTGTTCCTTGGTCACACCAGCCATACATTCCAAGGGCTCAAATACCCCAGGGGGCTAGTAGCTACCATGTTGGATAGCTCAGATAGAGGTCGTTTTCCACATCATGGGTTTTATTGAACAGTGCTGGTATAAAATATGAGTGACTATTCTCTTATAACAAGCACATCTTCAAACGTAGTGAGAATGTTGTCCTTTTTGCCATTTTTATGTACCGTAGCTCTTGTTATTTTTTAATAGGACAAGCATGCTAAAGGCACACCAAGTGACTACAAGAAATTTAAGTCTTGCTGTTTCAGACTGCTTTTGGAAAATGGTACGAGAGTCAGTTGAGCAACAGGCTGATAGTTTCAAAGGTAAGTTGGCTTTTAAAAATAAGCTAACAACATCAGACATTTTATTAGTTGGCAGTCTTAGGTATCCAGCAGATTCTTTATTCCCTGAACAGTTGCTTTTTAGTTCATTTTCTATTAGCTAGTATGTGGAAAATGGAAAAAATACAAATTTCCAGTTGTTCAAGAACACTTTCTCCTTCAGAGGAAACACCGCAAGGAGCACTTTGCAAATTAAACAGAGTAGAAAGTTTGCAGTAGTGTTTGGGAGAAAACTTAGTAAACTAGAGAGGACTCAGATTCCCCCATTTCAGGGGGAAGAGAGGAGTGGTGTTGGAAGGCAGAACAGCCTGGGCTTCAGCTATTTTGTCCTAGTTCTTGAATCCCACACTTCCTGCCCTGTGACTTTGCTTCCATAGTTTCATTTGATTGAGAGTATACTTTCCTTCCCTTTTCCCACTTGGGAATTCTACCTGCTTAGTCCCTCAGCAACCCTATGAGTATTGTTATTGTTCCCATTCTACAGAAGGGGAAAGTGGGGCACCAGAGTTAACTTACCTAAGTGATGCACCTAGCATCACACACAATAGATAATAGACCCAGGATTTGAATCCTGGTGATGTGATTCCAAAGTCCATGCCTTTAGCAACGGTACTAAGTTGTTTCAGCTCTGTGTTTTGTGGATTGAAGATGGAGAAACAAGAAGATTGGTTTGGAAAGCTGTTGCAGTAGTGAGATTCTGAGATGTTGAGAGCCAGAATACTCAGGAGCCATAGATACACACTCAGAAATTCAGTTAGTACAGAGATATGTGAGATCACCTGTAACCACCACAGCTGGATAGAAAGAGAATCCTGAAACTGGAACATCTGTCCTTCTTCCTCAGCAACACGTTTTAACCTTGAAACTGAGTGGAAGAATAACTATCCTCGCCTGCGAGAACTTGACCGGGTAATGTTTGTGTGCCTCATGTATTTCGCATATGTCTTGTTTGATATTGTGCTCTAATAGAATTTATGTTGACGAGCAAAATCTGGTAAGCCAAACTGCTTTGATTTTGACCATAGGATTACTAATTTAGAGCTGCAAGAATATATTTCTCTGTATAACTGCAAGAGAGCAGTTATCTCCTCTATAATAATTTAAATTATTTAGGACATAATATTAAAAAATAATTATAGATCATAAGATGCTAAAGCAAGTGTTTAAAAATGTTCTCTGAAAAAGTGAGAAACACTTATTTAATAGAATTAATATATTTATGTAATGCAAACTTTTAAAATTATACATCAACTTTTTTACCTTTTCAACATTTACTGTGGAGAAATATACTCTAATTTAGTGGGACTTAAATATTTGTTTTCTTTGATTTTTAAAATGCTCTCTGTTGTAAAACACAGCATTGGTTTATTAATGCTAATAGACTAAGTTAATATGTATTGATATTTTCATGTAACATTTGTTACATGAAAAACTACACTCAGAATTGAGTGAATAAGGTAGACATCTGTGTCCATGTCTTTGTCCTTATCTGGCTACTGGTATTCCTAAAAAAGAGGGTAGGAGAGAAGAACATTATTTGCTGGTCATGCATGCTTCAGACATAAGTTCAGCCTACTAGCCTGTCAGAGGCCTTCTTTTTAGTGATGTCTAAAACTCATGGCAGGGCAGATTGATGTTATGAAAATCTTACTTGTATCTATATTACCTAGAACGAACTATTTGAAAAAGCTAAAAATGAAATCCTCGATGAAGTTATCAGTCTGAGCCAGGTTACACCAAAACATTGGTGAGTATTTGACCTTTTCTCAAAGATTTTACTATATGGGTTATAATGAGATACTAAAATTTAGATTTATTGTAGCCTTGGCTCATCCCCCAAAACAGTAAATAGGCAATAGCATAAAAGTATTTCTTTTTGCAAAATCTAACCACTATTGTAGTCTAATTAAGTATTTAAGTACAATAAATTATGTATTTATTAAGTATCTTTCAGAAAAGATATTCTGAAAAATTACTTTCTCCATGGTCTTTTTAAATCTTAATTTGTCTTAGGCTTTCTTTACCTTGTATATAATTTTGATTTCTGTCAAGTCATTTAGGCAAAAGTTTCATCAAGTTGTGTTTTAGGTAAAGATCAGTCTATCAAAACTGGTTGCTCTTATAGGGGAAGGGAGGGAAAAATGAAATAAGATGAAATCAGAGAGGGAGACAAACCATAAGAGACTCTTAATCATAGGAAACAAACTGAGGGTTGCTGAAGGGAGGGTGGTGGATGGAGGGATGGGGTAACAGGGTGATGGGCATTAAGGAGGGCACGTGATGTTAATGAGCACTGGGTATTATATAAGACTGATGATCACTGACCTCAATCTCTGAAACTCATAATACACTATATGTTAATTAATTGAATTTTAAATTAAAAAAATAAATTTAAAAAAGCTGGTTGCTCTTGTTAGATTAATCACAGAGAACAAAACTATAGAGAAAATTACTTTGTAAAGGGAAAGGAGTATATATTTTCAAGTTCTCATTTCTGAGTAAGAACAATTGGTACTTTTTATAATATGTGCCTCATGTTTTATACAAATCTTATTTCAAGTTGAATTTTATTGGAGATTTTTTAAAAATAGGTAAAGTCATCCTTTTAAAAAAATAGGCATGCAGATCTCTTTCGGGGCAAACTATCACCTTCTGTTTCTGTTTAAATTAATTTTGGCACTCTTAAATTTGTTGGCACTGAAACCAAAATAGGTTCTGTGTAACTCAAGCAAGATATGTGTAAATAGCCTTGATTTTTTTTTGCAATCATATTTTAATTAACAAATTCCTTGTGCATAAATTATCTTTCTAATGAAGTCTATAATTTAAAAATTTATCATTCTTGGACTAGAACTAAATATTTTCTGTTCTTCTGTTTGCTCAGTTTAAGATGATCCAAATTGAGCCTAGAGAATAGTGTCCAGTCCTTAAATTTGAACTCAGTATTCAGTATTGTTAGTTTATTTAGTATTGTTAGTTTCCCCCCTCAGTGTCCTTTCTTCCTCTTCAGGGAGCCAAAATTTGCCTATTTTCAGTTTCCTCTCCTTATCCCCAAAAGGATTCTGATCTTATCTATATTTGTTGATTGATTAATCAGGTATATATACATCCCAGCTTATCTTTGTTATTATTTGTATTTTAAGCCAGTTCTCTGGCTTTCTGTAAGCCAATTAGCTTTTGAAATTGCAAGAGATAGAGTGTGTGAACACACACACACACATCTGTGCACACATGTGCACACAAAGAACGAATACTACTTGTCATACTAGGTTGTATGAGGATAACAAAAATGAAAAGTGATTTGTAAACTCTTATAACTAATGCTGTCTGTGGGAGAAAATATGGTGCGTCTGTAAATTACTGGCATCATCAAATGAAATGGGTAGTTTTGTTTGGGCAGAGCAGTCAGAAATCAAAATATACCTGCACTAAAGTGTGCAATGAAGATAGATGTAATTTATTTAACATGCAGGTGGCTGAAGGGAATTGTGAAGGGATGAGAAGCCTGTGTTTCCAGGCTGCCTATTGAGAAGTCAAGGGAAAGAAGTAGGACATCTAGCTGCTAGAGATTTATTCTGTGAGCTGATGGATCAGATGTCTGTATCTTTTCATCGGCTTTTCTTTTTTTTTCAGGCTCTATAGCTTAACACAAACATAGATCAAAATAGCAGGTCCTAATTAAAATTGTTCATACCACACTGAATTCAACTGCATTGTACCCAAAACGTTTTATTTTTGTGACATAGTTGTTTTTGTCTTAAGTCGTATATTTGTGTGTGTGTTGCATTTGCTTTATGTGATATTTTAGGGTGACTAAGATATTAATTATTTACTTGCCAGGACTACTTGATCTGTACTTGGTGATCTGGAAGCAGTATTACAAGTATTTTATGTCCTAAACGTGATAGTTTATAATTTACTTATAGGCGTTCTACTCTACTGTAACTATATTTTAAGAAAGTTGTTGGGGGTTTATATTTGACATATGATGCATTTAGGCAGAAATAGGCTCTCAGCGATTTCACATAATACACCTGATTATCAGGAATTGATTACTGACATTAAGCAGGAGATATTGGTATACCATTAACATTATGTGACCATTATTATAGATTTATCTCTTTTTCATATGTCATTTAGAAGGATAGCTGGCTATATTGATAGAAATTCACTTTTTAAAAAAATGGTATGATGGTACACATACAACTTTTGGTTAAAAGTATTAAGTTTATTTTCTTAAAAAGAGTGAAAGGAAAATGGGAATGCATAGTTGGGTTCCCTAACTCAGAGTTGAGGAATTAAAAAAGATTTCTGATATCATAATCCTCGATTTAAAGGGTAAAACGTGTTAGGTGAAGGCAGTGACAGGAAAATTGCAGAGCCCAGGAGGTGAGAGCAAGCAAGGTTACAAAGGTAGCTGAAGACTGTTACCTATGGCTTTAGCATAGGAGGAGGCAAGTGGCAGGAGATAAAACAGTAGATACAAACAAGATACAGATTATCGAGGGCCATGCAAGTCGTGTTCAGAAGCTTGGAATTTATCCCACGAGCACTGAGGGCCACTGAATAACCTTAGGGCAGATTTGCATTTTATTTTAGAATGATCTTTGTAGTAGGGAAATTGGAATGCTATGCAGAAGAGGGCAGTGAGCAAGGAGGCAGTTGGCTGTTGAAATTATGTAGATGAGAGGTGATGGTGGCTGGAACTTGAATAGTGGTTGTGCAGATGGAGAAGAGGAGACAGTTTTGAAATGTCTGAGAAGTTACCTAGAAGATAGAATTGACAGGATTTAGTGATTGGATGTATAGCTAATGGAGAAGTCCGTTAAACAGTGAGTACATTTTTATCCAGTAATTACATTGCTGTGAATTTGTAGGAATGAAGATATATTTGACAAAGATGAACACATAAGAATCTTCACCATTGTTTTGTGTATAAGTGTAAAAATATTGAAACCTTATGTTTTCTATTTGGAATTAATATATTTGATTTATTCATAGAGTGGATTACTGTGGTGCCATTGAAAAATACAGGATGTTGACATGGAAAACTGTATAACATGCTTTTAACTTTTTAAGAAGTATTTATAGGGGCGCCTGGGTGGCTCATTCATTAAGCGTTTGCCTTCGGCTCAGGTCATGATCTCAGGGTCCTGGGATTGAGCCCCGCATCGGGCTCCCTGCTTGACAGGGAGCCTGCGTTTCCCTCTCCCACTCCCCCTGCTTGTGTTCCCTCTTTCGCTGTGCCTCCCTCTGTCAAATAAATCTTTAAAAAATAAATAAATAAATAAAAATTAAAAAGTATTTATAAAACAGTCTGTGTAATATGTAAACACACAAATATTCAAGGATTCAATGTTTTTATTGATAAATTAAGCTGAATAGTGATTGTACTACTGAAAGAGGAATTATGGAGGACTTCTTACATTTTCTGTGTTGGTTGAAATTATTATATAGAGTGAGTCCTCTGCTTTAAAACAAGAAATTTCCATTTTGAAAAATGTTTTCATTAGAATGGAGTAAAATGGAGGTAAAGTTCCTGGAGATAATGAGAGGAATACGTAGAACTATAATGTTAATTGTATTTTGTGTATTTGTGGAATTTTCCCTAGATGATGGCAAAATTTAGGATAGAGAAGTCTACAGTCACGTAACCTATGCTGGGAAATGTAAGTAAGGGTGCACGTCAGGGTGGCAGATGGTGTAAGCACATACGCTGGCCACAGCCCACAGGGAATTTTGCGTGAGAGTTGAGGACCAGTGGTCTGGAAGAGAGAGTGTGGGGTGAGGAGAACACAGCTTCCACTTCCTAACTCTGAGCACCTTCCCGTCAGCAGAGTGTAAGGTCAACCACGGTCTGGAAAGGAGAGCCAGGAAGGGTTTGAGGATGTAAGGAAGGGGAGGAGTGAGAATGTAAGGTGGTTTGTTTGTCCCGGACAGGGTACTGGGGGCGCACTGAACATGATTATGATGGAGGGGAGCAGGGGGGGTGTGGACAGGTCAGCAGCTTGGTGGTGGAAGGGCCATGAGGATCGGTGACAGCAGCTACCTGTGGTGGACTGGAAAGCAGCCTCCTGTGAGAAAGTTACCTTAGGCTTGTCAGGATTTGATGGTCTGGGATTTTGTTATTATCTCCTTGAAAGGGTGTCTGGGATGTTGATTCTTGGCCCAGACTCTGGGGAAGAGATAACAGAGCAAGTCTGTTCTGAGGCAGGAGCAGCAGAAAGCTTGATGGTCAGAGGCTAGATCCTGGCCTTTTGTTCATCTTTCAGAAATCTTGAATTTGTGTTTAAAATTGTATCTGAATAGGAGACCCTGAGAAGCTTTTTTTCTTCCAGCTTGCTCCTAAAATTCTCCCCCTGTCATTATCTGTCATTAACACCATGACTAAACTGACTGCGTCCTTCTGGTCCCCCCGTGGGGTATCCTTACCTCACACTCTTTGGTGTTCTGGTTGTCACTGAAAAAAGACCCAAAAGTTAGCAAGGGGAAACCAGCAGCTAAGCTCATTGACTCAGTAGACTTGATTTTATGCAAGATGTTGCGTGAATATGAGGAGTTTTGGATAGAAGGGAGTGTTGACACTGCTCAACCAAGAAAATTGCAGTTTGGCCTTTGGACAGCTGTTTCTGCTACCCTGAGCTTTATGGCTGTGTAGTAGGGGGGTGAAGTTACTCTTAGACTGACCACCTTTGGCAAGCAGAATGTTTTTGTATGTTATAATATTATCTTACAGTAGAAATTAGTTTGGAAGAAGCCAAATAAATATTTTCTTGAGAGTTCAGTTTTTTTCCTTGATTGAAATAGTTGTCTCTTTGTTGTTTAGAGATCTGTGTTCTTCTGAGATGTCTTGAAAGCAGGAAGGATTCTCAACTTGATTATCCATCTTTTATATTCTTTTATTTATCATGATGTGTTGGACAGTTTTACCTAGCAATATCCCATAACATCTCTGTGCTTTGTGCTATGGTCTGATAAATTGTTAAAATTATACCAACAAGTTCTCAGACTTGGACTCTACTTCACAGTCAGTACATATAAAGTATGTATTAATATGAGGCAAATAAGCACATGAAAAGATGCTCAGAAGTATTAGTCATTAGGGAAATGCAAATGAAAACCACAATGAGATACCACTGTAAACCTGGCAGAATGACTAACCATATCAAATGTTGGCAAGATGTAGAGCATCTAGAACTCTCATCCTGTGCAAGTGGGAATGTAAAATAGTTCAGCCATTTTGAAAAACTGTTTTGGCAGTACCATAAAGAGTTATTTATATAATTGCAATATGATACAGCTATTCCAGCCCTAGATATTTTACCCAAGAGGAGCAACAGTGTATGTCCATACAGTGAATGCTCATAGCAGCTTTATTTGGAATAGCCAATAATGGGAAGCAGCCCAGATGTCCATTAGCAGGTAAATAGATAGATTCATATAGTGGAATACTACTCAGCAATAAAAAGTGAAACATGGATATACACAACAATATGAATGCATCTCAAAATATGCTGAGTGAAAGAAGACAGACAAAAGAGTATATACTGTATGATTGCATTTATATGCAGTTCTAGAAAATATAAGCTAAATCTCTTATAACAAAGCAGATCCAATGGTTAGAACTTTTGGAGATGATGGGTAAGTTCATTATCTTGATTGTGGTGATGCACACAGGTGTATTCAGTCAAAGCTTTAAATATGTGCAATTTATTGTAAGTGGATATTACTTCAATAAAGCTGTTTTTAAAAACTATTATATTTAAATTCGGTGTTTTTGAAACTTTTTTTTTTTTAATTTCAGGGAAGAAATCCTTCAGCAGTCTTTGTGGGAAAGAGTGTCAACTCATGTGATTGAAAACATCTATCTTCCAGCTGCACAGACCATGAATTCAGGGACTTTTAATACGACAGTGGATATCAAGCTTAAACAGTGGACTGATAAACAGCTTCCTAATAAAGCAGTAGAGGTTAGGATATAATTTAATTAAATGGGTAAGAAGCATTACCTGAAGGGAGGAGGAGCTGTGAATTTTAGGTTTTATTCCCATCACAGCCACTGTCTCTCGTATTGGGTCCTTATGCTCCATTTATTCTTTACTCCTCATCTCTGTGTTGGGATTAACCTAAATGCTACTACCTTGACTACCGTTATAAAAATTTACGAATTGGTATGCTGCTGGTCTGAGGGTATTGATTCTATTACAAAGATAGCATGTAACAAAACCAGCAGAATTTGCTTGAATGTGAAATGTTTTTAGCCTTTTCTGTGGATAAGGATTCCATAAGGAAAATGTTTAATGAATAAAACATTTCAGTTGTTGATTTTCTGCAGAGCTCATTTATACTTAAATAATCATTTTCTTAGTTAGGATCCTGCCAGAAGGTTAGACTAGGAATTACAAGAAAGTACCTTGAAGAATGCTTTTCTGTTACACGTGGTCTCTACCACATAGTAGCTATGTGACCCTTGGGCTAGTTGCTTCAGCTTTCTGTTTATTTGTACATTAGGGATGATAATATTGCCTGCCTCACAGATTGTTCTAAGGAGTAAATGAATATGTAAATGGATGTAATACGTAAAGTATTTAGACATACGTGGCTCACAGTAACTGCACAGTAAGTGCCATCTGCTGTTAGGATGATGACCATCATCTAAGTTGATCCGCCATACGCATTACTCTGAAGAATGATTATTCTAGCAAAGACTCAGCGTGTCCTGTGCTTCTCTGTGAGGTTGCTCACAAAGTTAGACTTGATGTTAAAGATAATTTTATTTCTCATTACCTGAAAAAGAAAATGTCAGCTAATTTTTAATTATTTGGGTGTGTTTCCCCCTTTCCTGTCCTTCACTCCTGGCTTCACCTCTTTTCTCAGCTTCTTCAAACTTCTCTTTCTAAGAACTGACAGCGGTTGTGCCAAACCTGCATACAGCTGACCCCTGTCAGTTCTCGACACATTGACCCCTAAAATAACTAGAGGGCTGCCGCCACCACTCCACTAGCTCTTCTCACAGCTAGCCCGGTCCCATGGTAGGATATTGTCATATCCTAAGGCTCAGCAGGGAAGTGGTCATTCTGTTTCCTGCTGCTTTCTCCCTTCATGCCTGGGTGTGGCAGAAAGCTGTGGATCTGCTGGAGGGTCAGGAAATATAGATTCTAATACCTCACTGGGTATTCTTGGACAGTCACGTTGTTTATGCCATGGTTTAAAATGAGGAGGGCTAAATAAAAAACACAACATTAACTAGCCCGCTTAATCATAAGTAGATTTAGTTCTTTTAACACTATGCTCTTCTTTCTCTGGCCAGGTAATTACGAGTTAGCTATAATATAGGTTGAATATTACTTATATACCGAATATAAGTAATATTCAATATGATTGAAGGTATTGCTGCATTGCTTCATATATTTGCATAAAGGCAAAGATGTGAAGAAGACTAGATCTTCACAAAGATGTGAAGAAGACTAAATCATTATGACATTTTAAACTTTCTACAGTATGGAAGAAGCAGGCAAACTCACATGTTGTACAGAATGAAATAAATAAGTGCACTAAGTGTGGTGGCTGATTGGAGTGCAAACCTATCTCAAGGGGGCGGCCCCTGTTCAGTTCCAGTTGGTGTTATATAGGAATGTGGGTACAGTGCTGCCAGATAGTTCAAGAGAGGCTGGAAACACAGGTTTTATATGAAGTCTATTTTTAGTGTTGGCTACTAATTTTTTAAAATGTAAAACACTGTGTATGTCTAGCAAAACATGTCAGGACTCCAGGTCTATCCCATCAGCTACCAGTGTGAGATCTCTAGGCCAGAGTTTGTATTTGCTGCCTTCTTTAAAAAAAAAAAAAAAAAATTGTGGTTTCAATATGTATTTTGTGATAAGCTAACTTATTACATCTATTTGGCTTAACTTCACGTGTTTGTCATGTTACATATTAAAATAAGTAGTATAAATACAGCTTTTTTTCTTTTAAATCTAGGTTGCTTGGGAGACCCTACAAGAAGAATTTTCGCGCTTTATGACAGAACCAAAAGGGAAAGAGCATGATGACATATTTGATAAACTTAAAGAGGCTGTTAAGGAAGAAAGTATTAAACGCCACAAGTGGAATGATTTTGCGGAGGACAGCTTGGTACATCATTTGTATATTACAGTGTCAGCCTCACAGTTTTATAGAATTTCTCAAATTGATACCCTTTTTATAGGAAGTTGTTTTTATATGATCATTTCAATGAGGTTCTGAATTTAAAATAATGAGGGAAAGAAATAGTTTATCTGTAATCAGCCCTTTAGCCCTTGAAAGTTTTCCTAGAAAACTTTTCTCTGAAACTTCGCAGTTAACAGGCTTCTCTAAACTTCCACAAATTGTTGTCCACTAGCCATTACATGGCCCTGAACCACAGATGGCTCAGATAGCTGCTTCTCATTTTACCCTTGGTGGTAACGAAAGGAGTGAGACGCATTGCTTTTCAGTGGATTTGAGTCATAAAATATTAGATTCCTGAAATAATGCTAACTACCACATGTTGAATGCTTAAAAGGTGCCAGAAACTTTACAATATATTTTGTAAGTACTATTTTATTTAGTTCTTAAGCAGTCCTATTATTGTCCTTGCAAAACTGAGACTCAAGCCCTGCTCTAATTACAAAGCCTGGCTATTGACCTTCACCAAATGCTCCATCTCCAACAGATCTTTTGTTATGTAGAACGTTTTCATCACCATAAACCTTGTTAAGCACCTGCTCTGCTCAGACAGTTCCAAGGAGGCACCCTTGAAAGATAAGATAGAATAGTTTTCTAGGAAAATGCATATCTCACTGGGGGCTGGTTGTAATTATAATTAATTTTTAAACAAGTGTTTTGTCTTCATGTTTGAAAACTATATTCTTTTTTTTTTTTTAAGATTTTATTTATTTGGCACAGAGAGAGAGAGAACGCACAAACAGGGGGAGTGGCAGGCAGGCAGAAAGAGAGGGAGAAGCAGGCTCTCTTGCTGAGCAAGGAGCCCGATGCGGGGCTCGATCCCAGGACCCTGGTATAATAAAATAAGACAGCTCCGAAGGCAGCTGCTTAACCAACTGGGCCACCCAGGCTCCCCGAAAACTATATTCATTCTTGTTAAATACCTTATTAAGACTAGCTCCTTTGAGAAGTGTCCTTTTTCATTGATTCATTCAAAAATTATAAAATTTAGAAATCAGTTTTCTTATAATAAATAGCTCACATTTGCTTATAGTTGTCCAGACCTTTTAAGCTTCTCTCCTTTATACTTTTCATTGATGTTAACAGTGAGACAGTGGTTGTTGTTCTCCTCTTTTCTGAAAATGCAGACACACAGATCATATGGCAAAAAGGAGAGGTAGCGAAGATCTGAATCATTAACTCCTGAGTACTAGGGGTCTAGGTGCAGATTTTATGTAGTTACATGTATAACATGCCTCTCTCTATCTTAGACATAGCTCGTTTAATTTGGTGTAGGAAAAAATCTTCACTGCTCATTCTTTTGGGAGAAAGCTGACAATAGGCAGATGATAGGAACTTGTGCATTTGCATGGGAGCAACATACTTTAGGTGCATCTATTATTTTGTGTATTTGATAAGCTGTCTATTTGAATAAAATTACTAAGATGATAAGGCATAAATCAAGTTAGCTGTTTTTCTTTCCTTGTTATTTCAGAGGGTTATTCAACACAATGCTTTAGAAGACCGTTCCATATCTGATAAACAGCAGTGGGATGCAGCTATTTATTTTATGGAAGAAGCTCTTCAAGCTCGTCTCAAGGATAGTAAGTAGGGACACTGGTTATTGAGTTTTTAGTATTCCCAGTGGTGAAGGAATTATCCAACTTGATGAACATTTGTTAAAAAAAAAAAAAAGCTTTTAAAAAATAAATGAAACCAACATTTTATAGTCTTTGTCATTAATACTATAGTTAAATGTTTTTTGTGAGATTTTTCAGTCAACTGCTTAGTAACTACTGAAAATATTAAATAAACTGGACACATGTTTATATGTACTTACATTCTAAAAAACTATAATTGAAGACTATTTTAGTGTTTGCCTCTATACTTACAGGAACTTTACAAGCAGTTGTACCTTTCATAGATTGTAAACATCTATAATTAAAATAAATTTATTATAAATGTACCGTAACCATCATGTAATCTTTATTTCAACTGACTTTATATTGATAAAGTAGTTTGAAATAGTTAAGAAAACAAGACTATTTATTATTAGTTACAATTTGTGAACTTGGTAAGTGATAAAATTTCTTGATGAATTAAAATTTTTTTAAATTTTTCTAGCTGAAAACGCAATTGAAAACATGATAGGTCCAGATTGGAAAAAGAGGTGGTTATATTGGAAGAACCGGACCCAAGAACAGGTAAAAACAAACAAATCTCTGTGTTATGGTATAATTTTGTTTATTTTAATTCAAGCATTAAATACAAGTTTTGCATGCCTCCAGTCCAAGCTTAATAATTTCAAATGTTTTTTATCAGCCTTTCTAAAATATAATGAATCTTTAGAATAAATAGAAAACTACAAAAGAAAGTTGGTTTTTTGTTAAGTGAAGTAGCTGTGTTATTAAAAGGAAGGGGAAATGAGCCATGCCCCTTTTGTGGTAGATTACTTTGTTCATTTCAGTTCCCTGTTTGAGGTACAGTGAAAATTAAAGTTATGAACAGAAATAAAAAATGACAAGAATTTAAAGGATGTAGAGTAAAAGTGATTAGAATAAAAGCTATAGTGCCTTTTATTTTTACCTCATCTGTTGTTACCTCTGGATTTTTCTGTTAGTTTGCTGTTGTGTTCCCAAAATAGGTATAAAAATTCAGATAGGAATAGAACTATAGAATTTATTCATTCAATAAATATTTAATGAGCACTTCGGTAGAACAGAATGGTAAAGGCAAGTATAAATAACTTAACAAATGAATACAGGAAAGATGTACAGATCATTCAAGTCCCCATCCCTTGTCATCTTTTTATTCCTTATTGTTATGGCTTCTCTGTTTTTACACCATATCTCATTCTTATGTTCATTCCTTAAACAGAAGCGAGAAAACAGGATATAGAACCAAAATACATAAGTGAAGGAAGTAATGAATAAGAAAAAGAGGTGGAATCCAATCCCCCTTCTTTCCTTTTGTCTTTGAATCCGTGTAGTTAGAGAAAGGAGACCAAGATACAGAAATATCAAGAGAAAAAACTTAAAAAAAATGGGAAATTATCAAATGTCATGTCATTCCTGTTTTCTTATTTTTTTCTTTTCATCTTAAATACAGAATCAAGTTATATAATCAACACCCTATATATACATATAGAGATATAGGTATCGATATCTTTTTTTAGTTTCATGCATTTTTTGTTTCATAAGCTGTCTATCAGATGTGAGTTCCAGTTTGTCTTAAAAAAAGTAAAGGGACAGTCTTCCTCTTCTCTTTTTTTTTTGATAGGATTCTTATGGAAAAATGAGTCGTTAAGAGACTGGAGAGAAGCTGAGGAAGTGGACAGTTAGTGGTTGGATCATGTGTGTTTTCAGGGAACATCAGTTATCTCTCACGACACATGGGATGAGAGGACGAAGTCTGTCAGAAAAGAATTTCTAGGAGATCATCAGAGGTTTCTGATTTTAAGACTAGAAGAATTGATTGAAAAGAACTGGCCTGAGGCAGATAAACTTGGAAGAAAAATGGTGTCTGACCATCATGGCTTAAGGGAAATTAGACCTAAAGTTTCCAGAATAATCAAAGATGGCAACTTGCCTCAGCAACTAGTGGCAAATATGCTTAGGTCAAACAGTCTCAGAGAGAAATAATTCTTAGTTGTAAGTTATTTTCTCAGGAATTTGAACCCATACGGGATTCCTGCAAGAGAAGTAGAGGAATTAGTTTTAAGATAAATGCAAGGATCTGTGGCCTAAGAGAGGACTGTGGAAACCCTTCAGAGAAGAGCCTTCTCAGGGTTTCAGGACAGCATGTGTAAGACCCAGACTGACTGTAGAACAGAGGCCATAATTGGGAATATAGGGGGAGGGACATCAGGACCACCTGCGGAAGTGTTTGAATGTGTTGTTTCATTTTCTGTTGCAAAAGAAAGCCCCTCCTGCCAGACTCAATCAGGTTCTCATTCTCTAACCTTTTCATCCCTCCTGCTCCCTGTTGAAAACCACTATTCTAGACCTCATTCCTAGAGGTTACTGTGAGAAACAGATTCTGGAAGAGGTTGAGATCATCCCCATATCTCACACTGCAAGTTTAGGTGACTGTGTAACTATTCTTTCTGTCTTTTTGAATGACTGATTTAGTAGGAAAAGAAATTTAAGATGTCCTGTGTTAAAGATGAGAAGCCTATGCTCTGAAAACTATTTTGTGCTTTTATATTGTTATATATTCCTTAGTTTTCTAGGGAAAAATCCATCCCTTTGAAACATTCTCACCTTGTCCGAGCTGAACTGTGGAGATCTTGTTCAGGATGGATGGGAGAGTAGTGTTCTCCTGAAGACCCAGTGTGGTCAGGGGACAGGTGGACAGACGGAAGTGAAAACAGGACAAGAGTTGGGGAATATCCTCCAACTTAGAGAGTTCCTTCTTACTTTAGACCAAGAGCAGATGTTTAAGGAAACTGTAAAATTTCTCTTCATTAAGTAATAGCTCTTCTAAAGTGTTATGTTTTCAGAGAATATTAATTAGTAGTTTCACTTATAAGCCAGTTATTTACATTTACATTTTATTCTTCTCTAAGTACTCAGATACTGTAGCTTGCTATAGTTTGGGGCAAAGTGTTGTGGTAGTAGCTTGTTTCGAGTAATCAGTGAATTTGAAGCTAGTTTCTTTTACTGTGCAATTTTGAAAGGATTGAAAAAAAAGATAAACATAATTTGACACTATAGGAGTCTTATTTTCAAGTTTATCACTAGTATGTATATGTTTTCCTCCTTTGGTCATCAGATTGAACAATTATAGAGAAGAGATTGGAAGTATATTTAAGAATGATAGGTACCTTGGCGCACCCGGCAGGCTCAGTCGGTAGAGGGTGCTACCCTCGATCTCAGGGTTGTAAGCTCGAGCCCCAGTTGGGTATAGAGATTACTTGAAAATAAAATCTTAGGGATACCTCAGTCAGTTAAGTGTCTGCCTTCGGCTCAGGTCATGATCCCAGGGTCCTGGGTTGGAGCCCCATATGGGGCTCCCTGCTCATCGGAGAGTCTCCTTCTCCCTCTCTCTCTGCCTCTCCCCCTGCTTGTGCTCTCTCTCTCTCTCCTGCTTTTCTCTCTCGTGCTTGCTTGCTCTCTCTCAAATAAATAAAAATCTTTAAAATAAATAAATAAAAATAAAATCTTAAAAGGGGAGGATGATAGGTACCTTGCAGAAGCAATCTGAAGCACAATTTTTAATGAAAATACTTTTTTTAAAAAAATCCCAACTATGAATTTCATATTTAATTTATCAGAAAAGAAACATGTCAGCAGGTGCAAGTCCTTACAGTCATCTAGTTCTTAGATACAAGGCATTTATAGAACATTATCTCTTCCCATGTATTCAGGGTCCTTTTTCCTAGAGTGATATCCCACCCTAAGGTCAAGAAGCTATATAGTAAGGTACCTGGTACTGTAACTTCGACAGTGAAACATTTCAGCAAAAGTAAAATATATAACAAATAAGGCCTTTTTTTTTTTTTTGCCTCGCCTGAGTCCGGCTTACCCTGCCTTTGTAAGCTGGTTGTCCTGTATTCATAAGCCAGGGTATTGTATTCTTTCTTATTGCTTGTGTGGAGCTCGTGTCCCCTATTGTTCAATAGCAGTATATTTAGGACAATTTTTTGTAAGTGTGCCAAATCATGAACCATAAAACAAGTCCTCTTTGAAACAATTTAAAGTTTGTCCACAATGAAACCAAGAACGAATTGGAGAAGATGTTGAAGTGCACTGAAGAGCACCCAGCCTATCTCGCGAGCGACGAGATAACTACGGTCCGAAAGAACCTTGAATCCCGAGGAGTAGAAGTGGACCCAAGCTTGGTAATACGTACTGCTGATAAGCATGCACTTGCTTCCTGAATCTCTGTTTCTTGTGGTGACATGTGACTACTTCTCATGTGTTATTTGGGTATTTAAGTGCTTTAATTTGACTTTGGTCTTGTGGACTTTTGCTGACAATAAAAGCAGTCATTTTGACTGTGTACAGAGTAGAGATTTATTCTCAGTATTGCTATCTTAAGTGTAATGCTTTAATTTGTAAGCAAGGATATTGAGACTTGAAAAGGTAACATACCCGGGCAAGTTCAGCAGGGAGCTCTGGCAGGAGGGGGGTGAAACCCAGCCACATCTCTGCACCCTGCTACACTACTTCAGATTGCAAAATTATAAGTTCTGCTTCAATACGGTTCATTTGTATGTGTGTTTTCTCAGTCAAATGTACCTTAATCAGGTAGGAGTGGGTTTAGAAAAAATATGAATGTTAAGTTTTTATTAAATTGGATAGTGCCTTAGCGTTCTACCTCATTTTCCTCATTCGTAATAAATACGAGAATAAAAATAATTGCAGTTTAGACTATGTTTTACTTTACCTTCATGATGCTTATTTGGGAAAATTTTTAAAAAATAACTTTCTGGGCCTATGTGCCCCTAGTTAAGGTGTAAGGGATCGAAATTTCATTTTAATATTAGCTTAAGTTAAGTGAAACCCTATTAGAAAAATAATTCTAAGGGGAAAAATAATCATATAAGAAATTTCAGAGCCACACATAAATTATTTTAGAGATTATCTACTATTTATGTTTCTGCATTTGAGAAATGAGTATACTTAATATAAATTCTGCCAGAGGTCAGAACAAAAAAAGAAAGCAGGTAAAACTCAAAGCAGTTCAAGCTGTTACATCTAGCATTATTTATAAATTGAAAATGAAATTAAAACTAATGATAATTACATGAAACTATTAGTTGAACGTAAATTTAATTTATCCACATTTGGACTTTGCCCACATATTAGGATATGGATCGGCTATATATTTTAATTACTTTTCCTGAGCAAGAAAATATCTGGTTTTTTCCAAGAGACATTTTGTTCAGGGTACTTTATGAAGCTATGAAATAGCGAAGTATTACGACAAGAATAGCAGATGGGCTAGATGTCAGAGATGTGAATACTAGCACAGTTTCATCCCATTCATTAGTAATAGTACCTTTAGTAACTAATATAATCTCTTTGAACTTCCGCTTTCCTTATCTGTCATATAGTGTTGGTGATACTTGTTATACCTACTTAACATTATTACTGTCATGCTCAGAAAAGATAATGGTGTGAAAGAACCTTGAACACTCTACATAGTAATGACATTAGAGGGGTCATTTTGTTGTGGTAACAACGAAATGTAGTAATCAGAAAGGAAATATTGTTGCATTGTTGGACACGGTCTGAGACCAGCTCCCTAGTCCCAACTCTGTCCTTAGATTTGGCTCACCACCCCTTTTTCCTTGGGGCTCTTTAGCTCTTACTAGGGGAGATAATAATCTCAACCCTATATATACCCTACAGGATGATTATATGAATATAATAACAATGCTTGTTAAAAACATTGCATTTTTGGAAGTATGTAAACTGGTAAAGAGAGGAGTGGTAAATCTAATCTTTGTCTTAAAAAAAATTTTTTTTAATGGATAAAAAAGGTTGGTAGAATAATAACGTTACTATTAGTTTTAATTATATTTTTTATAAGTAAACTCTGGATGACTTTTCAGAATGTGTTTGGTGAACCTGCAGAATGTATAGTAACTCAGTTTTTTGTTTTCTTTTTTCATTTTAGATTAAGGATACTTGGCACCAAGTTTATAGAAGACACTTCTTAAAAACAGCTCTAAACCATTGTAACCTTTGTCGAAGAGGCTTTTACTACTACCAAAGACATTTTGTAGATTCTGAGGTAAGGCGTCCAAAAACAAGGGGAAATGCTTTTGGTGATCGTTTACATGCTTAAAAGTGAACTATAACTTTACCATTAGTTTTAAATCCTTTGATCTACTGGGGAAAGAATGTGTGATTGATGAAGAATAACCTAACTGCTGTCTTTTCTAAGGTATTCCAGTTTATATTTTACACACTATAAGATTTTGTATGCAAATAAGAGGCACTAAACCACTTTTTAAATTTTTTTTTTAAGAATTAACTTTTGGGGGCACCTGGGTGGCTCAGTCATTTAAGCATCTGCCTTCAGTTCAGGTCATTATCTCAGGGTTCTGTGATCGAGCCCCATGTCAAGCTCTCTGCTCAGCGGGGAGTCTGCTTCTGCCTCTTCTTCTGCCACTTGCTTGTGCTTGCTCTCTTTCTGATAATAAATTAATAAACAAAATCTTAAAAAAAAATTACCTTTTTATGTTAGAAAATAATACATTCTTGTTGTGGAAATGCAATGAAGAAATGTAAAAAAAAAATTGCAAAAGGAAATAGTCACTTACTTAAATATTCCCTATTGAGGAATAAGTCACTTATAATCCCCTGACCTAGAAGTAATTTTAGTTAACATATATATATATATCTGTTCAATTCTTTCTGTACTTAGTTGTGTATGCATGTGTATGATATAACAATCCATTTGGATAGTGGAAATCATACTGCAAAAACAGTTTTTATTGTGCTTTTTCCTGTATTGTAATTCTTTCTTTATATCATTAAAATCTTGAAATAATTATTTAAAAGAAGTATATAAGGTTGTACGTTGTTTAATGCCACATTTCACAGAGTAACCCCTAGGTGGCAGCAGACTCATGTATTTTGAGCATTTTCTTATAAGCAGAAATGCTTTTTAAAGTATCCTTCTGAAAGAGTTCTGTTAATCAGTGATCTTATTTGAGACCCCTAAAATAAGCTTTTGAGTTTTCTACAGCTTAAAATAAATTTGTATTTAAATATGTCTATGTAAAAAGTAGCAAATTTTTTGCATAATTGTTGAGGAGACCTCTCTATAGAATAAGCTTCTTTTAAAACATAACATATTATTAATTTACTTTTATATACAATTGCATTTCAAAACTGGCTTGAGTGCACAAACAAAAGAGGTTAACCTAAGGGTATATTTAAGCTAACATGGTTGTTAGCTGAAACGAAATAAAAATTAAGGGTATATGCTATGAATTTCTACTTGTATATGATGTCATGAAATTCTCTCCTTCCCAAATTTATTTGCTTTGTCATTGGAATCAAGACAAACCTCTGTGGTTGGGGGGGCAGATTGACACCAAATCATGCAGATGTTCATGGACCTGTGCAGAAAAGATTCAGTGGCTTATATCTACAATAGGAATAGATGTATTAGGTAAATATGAGGGTTTTTACTAAAGTTTACGGTATAGGTACTAACTTCAGTAGTTGTATGTGTTTATGAACGTGGTTTTCATTTTTAAATTTGCATCTGGTAATCTTAATTACCTAAATTTCAGTTGGAATGCAATGATGTCGTCCTGTTTTGGCGAATACAGCGCATGCTTGCTATCACTGCAAATACTTTAAGGCAGCAACTTACAAACACTGAAGGTAAGCCACAGAGGGACCACTTTCTAACATCAAAAAAAGAGTAATAACTCATTTTTAATGGAAGGATATCAAAATACTTCTTTAAAAATAGATTCGTTAGGGGCACCTGGGTGGCTCAGTTGGTTAAGCCTCTGACTCTTGCTTTCTGCTCAGGTCATGATCTCAGGGTCATGAAATTGAGTCTCTTGAGATTCTCTCTCTTTCCCTGTCCCTCTACCTCTCCCCACCCCACACGCGCACTTTTTATCAAATAAATTTAAAATAAATTTAAAAATAAAAATAGATTTGTTAGAAAAATTAAGAACTATAATCTGCCATTAAAATATTAACAAAAATGAATCATAAGTGGAAAAGATGGGAGATAAAACATAGCAGGAGTCTCCCTTCATTACACAAAAACTATTAGAAAAGGACTCCTAAGCATCACTTAAGTTTTTGGGGGAAATCCTCACTTCTTTAAAGTGTTAGGACTTGAGAATATGACTTTCTCTGAAAATATGTATTAGATTCATGTTGGATAGAAGTACTGTATAACAGGTACAGATTCTCCCTAAACCTGTGAGAAGTCGGAACTGAACAGATCTAACATGATGACAGCAATCGGAACTTACTCTCCAACTATTGCTATTTTATCATCCCTGTGCATTCATAAAAATGATGCTCCTCAAGTTTTTTGTTTACTTTGAACAGTCAGGCGATTAGAGAAAAATGTGAAAGAGGTATTGGAAGATTTTGCTGAAGACAGCGAGAAGAAGGTACAACTACTCACCGGCAAACGAGTTCAGCTGGCTGAAGACCTCAGTAAGTAGTTCTTCCTGCCCTTCCCTGACTGCCTTTTCTCCTTCCCCGTTTCCATTATTCATTCATCCATTTAATCGCAAACTGTAGAAAAGTATATACAAGAACTTTTTTCCATGAACTATTTGAGAGAAAGTTGCTGACCCGTAGCCCCATCATTTTCAAGTACTTTAATGTGTGTTTCTTAGAAACAAGGATTTTCTCCTAGCAACCATAATGCAACCATCAAAATCAGGATGTTGACACTGATACATTACTGCATCTAATTTTCAGACCCCATTCAAGTGTCATGTGTCATTCTAGTGTTGTCCTTCCATGTAACAAGATGTTCCACGCTCATCCTGTACTTTCCGTAATCCAGCTTCCTTTTTTTGGAGAATGGTATTTAGAAACCAAGAGTGGGGAACTAGATGTGCTGATTGTATTGGAATATCACTGTTCCCAGGCCGTCTCAATGGAAAGAGCTGGGGAACAGATTTTGCATGCATTTGTGTGTGTGTGTGTGTGTGTGTGTGTGCGCACGCGCGCGCGCATGCACGCACATGCACATATACACGTGTAGACACATTTACACACATTTACATCTATATTCCTAATCATAGGTATATGTCTGTATTGAAAATCATAAGTTGAGGGGCACCTGGGTGGCTCAGTCATTAAGTGTCTGTCTTTGGCTCGGGTCATGATCCCAGGGTCCTGGGATCGAGCCTCGCATCGGGCTCCCTGCTCAGCGGGAAGCCTGCTTCTCCCTCTTCTACTCCCCCTGCTTGTGTTCCCTCTCTCGCTGTGTCTCTCTCTGTCAAATAAATGAATAAAATAAAAATAAATAAATTCTTCTTTAAAAAAAAAAGAAAATCATAAGTTGACACTGATACTTCCCATTTTAATTCAGTAATACAGAGTTCATCCTAGTTTTCTCCTTTTTCTAACCATGAGAAATCTGTCTCCAAGTCTCCTTAATATTTACTTCCTTTGATCAGTCTTACTGTATTGTAACTAAACTTGTCACTGTTACCTTCATTGCACAAGCATCCTTTTCACCCAGTTCAGAAGCTAACCACCCAACTCCACACCACCACCACAGTGACTCGCCCTATATTGACTCCCTTTTCACTGAGCTCATGCTCTGGCATTGTGTACCAGGCATATCCCCCTTTATCCTTCCCACCTCTTCCCCTGCAGTAGGACATCCTCCTCACCTGAAGCCAGGCCATGCTTTTGTAGAGGACAACCCCTTCATCCCACATATGCTCCAATACTGTGCACCAGACTGGACTGCCCTCCTACAGGGCTACTCTCCTCACTACTGCGCCAAGCCCCCAGCACCCCCATGTGAACACCCTCTTCAGCCGGGTCAGGCTTTAACAGCTACACTAGACCCACAAGGCTTTCCCTTCTGCCACCCCTCCCCCACCTCCAGCCTAGCTTGGCCTTCCTGATCACCTTTTCACTTTGTTTGGGGGGGATATTTGGTTCTTTCCTGAATGCTAGTTGGTTCCTAGCTTTAAGGTATTTGGATTGCATAGTAAGATTTACTTAGATCCTTGAGAACCCAAGGGAAATCCATGAAAGAGTAATACTAAATAAAAATAAAAATACTGAGGTTGGTCCTTCTGTTTGAGCTTAACCTTGGTACAAGTTTCCCCTCATTTAATTCCATGAAACAAAGTATTTTTCCTTTCAGTGTATAGTTAAATTTAGTGTCTTAGGATTTTTCTGATATCTAAGAGAAAGTTCATCACATTTGAAAACCATTTCTAATCTGAACTTAGGTCACTACAATATGCTCCCTAAAATGTCCAAGAGAAAGCAGCAGTTGTCCTGTTTAACACCCAGCGCCTCAGCAGCGTGCTCCATCACCGCCGTCGCTGCCTCCTCTTGTCATTTGTTCTCTTTCTGTCCTCTCTTCCCTTAAATAGTCTTTTTTTAAAAACGTATCTCATTTTAGCTTTTATTTCCATTTTCTTTTGCTTTTCTTTTAATTTCTTTCATGTCACTTTATCAGAATAATTAAGTTTGTTCTAACTCGTAGAAGATCTGTGTTTGAATATGAACTGCCATTCACTAGCTGTATTATCTTAGGCAGGGTATCTCTCAGAGTCTTAGCCTCTTGTTTGTAAAAATGACTCCAATAGTTATTATATTGCTAGGAGGGGCTTTGGGAGAATTACTTCAAAAACCACTTGCAAGTCCCTGCTTCACAATTTTATGCTATATTAGTGCTGTTACAGGAAGAGGTGTGTCAGTGTCGCAAGGTGTACAAATATATTTCTTTTGTATCCCTCAGGACTTGGTTATCAGACAGCAAAATACTTCACTGAATTTTACCAGCATATATAATTTTAAGTAATGAAAAATGTCTTTTCTCATGTTTTGTAAGAGAGCCTTATATAACCCCCAGTCCCAATTTGATTATTTCAAGAAAGTGAATTGCTAACACAGATTTGTGCACTGTCAAGCCAAGTCTTATGTTATCCTGCTCGTTTTCCTGAGAAAGTACTCTATGACTCCCTTGAAATGATTTACTGTTTTTGTACCTATAAAATTATGGTCGTGTTAATGTACCAAATAACGTCCTTGGAAGCAAGTGTTTCACCAGTGACTCAGCTTCATCATTCACACTAAAGGAGGAGATGAGCCAGGACGTTGTCTATTAGTTGGAAAAGACTCTTGGGAGTACCTTTTCTGTACTGTTTATCTTTAGTGTAACACTTGGGAATATGGTCATGGATTCTTTTAGCCAGAAAACTTTCAAAGTTTTAACAGTAACTACTGTATTACTTGGATCAAAGTTTTTAGTATATAGCATATTCAACTAGAATATCGTGTGTTGATGGAATTTAGAGAAAGGGAAACAGTCAAAAGAGCTTTTACTACAATTTCAAAATAGTACAGGGGTAGAGTATTGTGGAGTTTGGGCAAGTTTGGTGCATCATATTTTTTGCCAAACTTATTAAACTTGCTCGATTTTAAATCCTTTCACCACTTTACTTTGGAGATTCATCAACTGATTGTCCTGAGTTAGGAAGGTCGAAGAAATGAAACAAGAGCCTACCCCTTCCAGTCTCAAGAAGAGAAATCATATATAGGAAACAGGACTCTTTGGAGAGGTGGTAGATTCCATAGCTGGAGCAAGAAAGATGAACCTGGAGCATCCTAAGATGACAAAATAAGGAAGTATTTGAAGGATGAAGGGGACGTGTCAGCAAGGTGCAAAAGCCAGCTTTTAAAAGGCGCCAGCTGGCCAAACTAGGACAATTGAGGTATCAAAATAAATCATGACAAGTACAAATTGTAACCCACTGAATAAAATAGGATTCCATAAATTGATAATTATATAAATGAACAAAATCAGTGATGAGGAATGGGATATTTGTATAATCACACAAAGTATCTCCACACAAAATAATTAAAAAAGAATAAAGAGTAACTTTACAATGGAGAAGCCTGGCAATAACCACCTTAATCAAGCTGTCAACGTTAATATTATCGGTAATGGTCAAATTAGAACTGTGTGCCACCTTGTAGAATGGCAGTGAAAAAATGCCCAGCATCACTTCTTGGATATTTTTACCAAAGGATGTGTACCTTAAATCCAATCATGAAGATAAATCAGACAAACCCAGATTGAGGCACAGTCGACAGAATAACTGGCCTGTAATCTTCAAATGTATCAAGATCATGAGAAACAAGAAAATAGTGAGGAAGTATTTCAGGTCGAAGGAGACTAAAGAACATGAAAACAAAATGCAACGTGTGACCCTGAACCTAATTTTGTTGCTGTACAGGACATTAATGGGACAGTTGGTAAAAGTTGAATAGAGTGTTACATGGTAGTGATACATCAGTGTTAATTTTTAAATTTTGATTGTAAAATTGGGATTATTTAGGAAGATATCTGTATTTGTAGCTAGTACACAATACAGTATTTGGGGTTTATGAGATGTAATGACAGTAAATTATTCAGGAAAAATATATTCTTTGTAGTGTTCTTACAACTTTTCTCCATATCTGAAATTATTTTTACATAAAAAAGGTAAAAAATGGTTTAATTTTGTTTTTATAACTGGATTTGTTTATGTCAATGGATCATAGTCATATGAAAATAATTTAGAAAAAATGAGAATTTTAAAAAATATGAATTCTGAGTATGTTGAGGCTGAGTTACCTCCTAGACATTTTTTTTTTTTTTTTAAGTAGGCTCCACGTGCAGTGTGGGGCTCGAACTCATGACCCTGAGATCAAGAGTCGCATGCTCTGCCAGCTGAGCCAGCCAGGTGCCCCATGTCCTGCATAGCTCATCTTTCCACCTAAATTCCTTATTTGCAGCATCTAATTACACTTAGAACTATTTAGTGTTGAAATATGCCCACTATGACCTTGATGAAATTCGTTTGACTTTGTAGCAAATTTTATTTTAAAGGATTTTTTTATAGATAAATACAGTGTCCACTTAGATAAAATCTATTTGGATTCCCGGTATAATTTGTAATAATGTTTTTAGTATATTTATTGAAACAGGCTATATTTTTAAATGCTTTCTTTGAAGAAGGGAAGATTGGTATGGTATGTAGCTCAATTCAGAGTTTTTCCATAATGCGTTGTTTTATGATTTATAAAATCTATTTTATGATTATCATCATATGAAACAAGTGATATGCTAACATCTTACAGACATTTTGGAATTTATTCTCTGTCCCACCCTGGAAATGGAGTATTTGGGCGCTGGTAACAACTGCTGTAATGTTGCTAAAGTGAAGTCCAGCAAAACAAAATGCAATTCTTTTATTATTTGTTATATGAATGTTGTGTCAGTTGTTAACTAGGTTATTATGAGTTTTGGACCTTTATTATCAATTGCTTGGGATTTAGAGCTTAGATTTCTTTCTAAATTCTTGTTCACTAAAGCCCAAATTACTTTTCATTTTCTGTGTACATAATCAGAGAATAATTGATATCCAGGAATTAAAGGGGCATTACAAATCATTTAGATCTCTCTAAGA